ACACCTTCAGCCTTGGCTCTGGTTCAGTTTCTTGGCGTTCTACACGCTCGTCTTCTGTTCTCAGCTCCAGTTGTGAGGCTGAGATCTACGCCACAGCCATGGCTGCACAGGAGTTACGCTGGCTCACCTACCTGCTGACCGACCTGGGAGAGCGGCCTCGTTCTCCTCCAGTGCTGTACGTCGACAACAAGGCTGCCATTGCCTTGTGTGAGGAGCACAGACTGGAGCACAGAACGAAGCATATCGCTCTGCGCTACTTTCTTGCTCGAGAGCTGCAGCAGCGCGGTCAGCTTCGTCTGCGTTACGTGGCCACTCGGGCCAACACTGCTGATGTGTTCACCAAGGCGCTTCAGCCTTGTGACCATCAGCGCTTCTGTACTGTTCTAGGCCTCGTGCCTACTGGGCCTCACTTGCTTACTTCTTGACTCTGCTTGTACTGTGATCTCTATATATATACATGCATGTTTACTCTTGCTAGGTTGTGATCACTGTATCTCTTGTTATATTATCAACCTGCATGTGAACTGGTCTTGTGACCACTTGCTTGTGCTCAGAATTTGTGTGGTTTCCTTGAGATCCACCCTGAGCTTGCTTTGCTTTGCTTTGACTGGTCTTGTGACCATCTGGTTGTCTCCCACTTAGCCTATGGGGGTGTGTCAAACATTATATGTTTATATTGTGTAGGCTATAGTGGGTTCAGCCTTAGGGGGTACAACAAACTTAGGGTTTCATACTTGTACCCAACTTCTTTCTAGTTCATTCATTCTCGTGCAGTACTATATTCTAACAGCGCGGGCCCCCGGGGCGCCTCGACGGGCGACGGGAGGGGGGCGACGCGCGGGCCCCCGGGGCGCTACGACGGGCGACGGGAGGGGGGCGACGCGCGGGCCCCCGGGGCGCCACGACGGGCGACGGGAGGGGGGGCAACGCGCGGGCCCCCAGGGCGCCGCGGCGGGCGACGGGAGGGGGGGCGACGCGCAGGCCCCCAGGGCGCCACGACGGGCGACGGGAGGGGACAGCGCGCGGGCCCCCGGGGCGCCACGACGGACGACGAAACCGCCGCGCGCTCCCGGGGCGCACGGCGGGCAGGAAACCGCCACGCGCCCGGGGCGCGTGGCGGGAAGAAAACCGCCACGTGCTAAATGGCGCGCGACACACAGTATGGCAGCGGAAGCAGGCGGGCCCACAGGCGAGGAGCGTAACTGTCGAAATACTAGGCAAGAATCAGAAACAAGAAAGAGGGGTTTTCACTAGCAGCAGTTGAGATACATATAGCAAACCCTAATTCGGGCTGTACTCGCTATAGAGTACCCCACTGCAGGCTAGACAAACATCACATTCTGACACACCCCCATAGTCAAAGTGGGGTATAATCAGCACAGCAAGCAAGCAGGTTCACAAATACAAGCAAAGCTAGAGGCTATCACAGAGAGCAAGTGAGGAGGAGGAGAAGCTGTGGGGGCGAGAAGATGCGAGACGGCGGCTGAAGCTGCAGACACACGGGCAACAGGAGTGCGCAGCACTGTCGCTACCAGGCTAAACCCGGACTACACGGCGACAGGCGCAGCTGGCTCTCTGTGCTCCCAGGAGTGCTCACACTGTGGTTACCGGGCGCAGAGCCCCGGACTACACGGCCACAGGGGGTCGTGGCTCTCTGGACTACCAGGAGTGCTCACACTGTGGCTACCGGGCGCAGAGCCCTGGACTACACGGCCACAGGGGGTCGTGGCTCTCTGGACTTCAGGCGCTGCGGACGACAAGTCGGCTACCTCCACTCAACTTCCCCCAGCTGTCCCACACCCCTTTCACACACCCCATGTTGAACCTCTAGCCCGCTCACACGCCACCCCCCTCGTACCACTCCGACGGCTCCAACACATCCACCCCCCTCAGCGGCAGCTGCAGCAGTGGGAGACGAAGGAGGAGGAGGAGCAGGGAACGGCTCACACACACGGCACCCCCATACTCTCCACCCCCAAACCCTAACACAGGAGCGCGGGCAGCAGCGGGGGTGGGGCGCGGTCAGAAGCTCGGGGAACGGCTTGCGGCACTGGGGAAGACGGTACGGGCCGCTCACGGGTCTGGCGCGGGCCGGACGAACCGCGCGCGGGCTGCCTAAGCCGCGCGCGGGCATGGCGCAGCCCGTACGGGCCGCGTGCGGGCCTGGCGCAGGCCGTACGGGCCGCGCGCGGGCCTGGCGCAGGCCGTACGGGCCACGCGCGGGCCTGGCGCAGGCCGTACAGGCCGCGCGCGGGCTGTACGGGCCGCTCGCGGCCTGGCGTAGGTCTCGCGGGCCGCTACGGGCGACGGGGGGCGACGCGCGGGTCCCCGGGGGCGCTGCGACGGGCGACGGAGGGCGACGCGCGGATCGACGGGGCAGAAAACCGCCGCGCGCCCCGAGCGCGCGGCGGGATGAAAAATACGCCGTGCACCCGAGCGCGCGGCAAGCAGAACACGTCGCGCGCCCGGGGCGCGCGATAGGCAGGACAGCAGCGGAAGCATTAGGTGGCGGGCCCATCCACAGGATCGACCCAGGAGGTCGACCTGCTCTGATAGCATGTCGAAATACTAGGCAAGAATCAGAAACAGGAAAGAGGGGTTTTCACTAGCAGCAGTTGAGATACATATAGCAAACCCTAATTCGGGCTGTACTCGCTATAGAGTACCCCACTGCACGCTAGACAAACATCACATTCTGACAGTAACCGCTCTGATAGCATGTCAGAATAGCAAGCAGAAGTTTAGAACAGGAAAGACGATTGTACTAAAGTTGTCCCTGAATGGTAGTGGTAATAGTAATAGTAATGGTAATGGTAACTGTAATGGTAGTAGTGATGGTAATGGTAATGGTGATAGTAATTGTAGTGGTATTGGTAATGGTAACGGTAATGGTATTGTTATTATTGGTAGTGGTAATGGTAGTGGCAATGGTAATGGTAGTGGTAATGGTAATAGTAAGGGCGTATTCATATCCTCCTATCAATCTGACCTCCTATCAAGCTCACACTGAAAAATCTTCTAAACCCAAAACCTCTCGCTACTTTTCCCAGGCAAAAAATACAATCTTGATAGGAGGTGGCCTTGATAGGAGGCTGAAGGAATACGCCCTAATAGTAATGGTAATGGTGATGGTAATGGTAGTGGTAATGGTAATGGTACTGATAGTGGTAATGGTAATGGTAGTGGTAGCGATAATGGTAATTATAATGGTAATTGTAATGGTAATGGTAATGGTAGTGGATTGTCCCACACTCACGTGCTGCTATACTTGGTGTGCTCCTTGTGTTTGCATGCCGTGCGTTTGTGGTTGTGCTTGTCGTTTTGCAGCGAAGCGCGTTTTGCCGCCAGCGCCGCAATTTCTTCGTAGTTTTCGTGCTGCTGCTTCAGCAGTTGGTTCAAGCGCTCTTGCATTAGACTCGTGATATCAAAATATTTGGCCATGTCGAAGGGCAGCGGCTCGTCTTAGCGCTAGGCGCTGTCAGCACGCGTTTACGAGAAAACGCGAGAACAGCGACTCCTAGTGGCTATGGGGCGTGAGTCCCTTCGAGTGAAAAAAATCAAAACCTGGGTTCCCTGGTTGCAAAAATGCGCGGTCCGTAAGGAAAGTGCCTCTCATAGCCAAGTGTTACATATGTAGTGGTACGAGATAGCGAGGATTGCACTAGGTGGTCAAAAGAGTACAAGGTATGAGCGAAGGCATGAGCGAATACTTAAATGCGAACCTGCAAACAGTAACGTGGTGCGTGCGAGCTAGCTAGTGCTACGCTGGCATTGAGGTTCGGGCTAGTCCCGAAGCATGGGCCGACACGACTTGGCCAGCACTTTGGTTAATACTGCTCGCGAAGGTTGGCGAAGCCCCGTTAGCAGTAACGCGTGAAAAATGGCTGCTTCTGTACACGGTGTTGAAGGACGCAGTAAGAATGCCAAAATAATCCTTAAACAAACACAAAGTTGACTCGTTCAGAGAGATACAATACAGCATATGGAAATGCAATATAAAGGTTGCTTCAATTTCATTGACTTACTTGCTCACTACTTTGACATCGCTTTATGTGGCAACGGAACGAGCAGAAGCATGGATAGACAAAGAAAGGTGGGATGCTCTGCGACCGTGTCATGACATGGCATCGACGGCTGGTACCCGCGCATGTGAAGCTGGATTGTAGCAGGCGGTGTCAGGCTTCCCCTGGCCACATCATTTTCGCACAAGCTGGCTTATCGTGCAATCAGTGCGCGCCACATAGTTGAGCTGGGATGGAATGGCAGAAACATCTCTGGCGGAAGCGTTGCGCAGAAGAATTCGCCACCAGCCACGCGAACCAGCCGCGCACGTGCCCCGTGCGGCATTGATTGGTAAGGAAACTGGTCCGTGCTTTTCGTTTGATGGTAACCACTTTCAGGAAACGAACCGTTCGCCCAGCCTCCCCCCGCCTTCCGGCGAAATGTTCGTTCGCCCAACATCTTCATTGGGAACTGCGTCACACTATCGGGAAGTCGTGGTCGAGATATTCCTTACCTTACCAACACCTAGGCCTTCTCCATTCCAAGAGACTTGTTTCTAGTTGACTGTTCAAGGCTGAGTCCAGTCGTCACATAGTTGTGTGCGGAGTGGTCTTGGCTAGGTGTCTCCAGCTCTATTCGTCACCATTGTCAAGCTAACCAGCTTCTTGATGGTGTGTAAGTGTTTCACTTGTTATCCCGAATAGTATCGCACTTCCTCACACTAGGCGTCTGCCTTTATCACCATGGCTGCCAACGACGTGAGCTCTTTACCACTTGATTCCGCGGGGGAATTGCATCAGGATGCCACGTCAGCAACCACAGATATTCCAACCACGGATGCTCCAACCACAGACTCTGCAGCCCAATGTTCGCATTTGCTGGCCCTAGTCCAAGACATGCGTGCCGCGCGGGATAGCCTCGGGGAGCGACCCACCCTGCATGACGTGGACAACGCGGCAAATGAAATTGTAGCAATCGACAAGCACCTTGTATCGCAAATGGAAGCGCTTGTATCGGAGACGCGACCAGACGGAGCGGACGAGTTTCTTTTCAAGCAGCTGGTGGCGCTTAAGCAGGATGTGATGCGCACTGCAGCGAGTATGAAGAAGCGTAAGCCGCAAGCAACGTTGGATCTGGAGGCTAAGTACCGGCACTACGATAAGATGGTGATGCTTGCTGAAGAAGCGGTGCTTACCGGCCGACTTCCCACCCTCGTAGCCTCGGCAGAAACCGAACCTGTCGTTGTCGAACCTTGCGCCGAGCCTGCGGAAGTCGAGAATTTCTCAGGCGTATCGGTTGGTGAGGAGACGGGCGGGTTGAACGCTGCTGAAGCGGTTTCTACTGCAACTGATGGTGGAAATGGCGGGGATGCATCAACAGCAGCAGCTGCGACCGCAGTCGCTACCACAGCGGTCGTCGCAGCAGCAGCCGGAGCAGCAACCGCCGTTTCAACCCCTGTCGCTGAAGCCGCTGCTGCGAAGCCCGTTTGTGTCACATCCGCCAGCCCCGACTCCACGCTCGCCTCTCCCGTCACGGAGAGCCCCGCGGCGGTCGTCGGAAGCCCCCCGCCAGCTCGGAGGGCCGTGAGGAGCCTCTCCCCTCCCCCGGGGCCGTCCGCACGTGCCGTGTCGTTCGGAAGGGACGTTGCCGGTGCTGCGGTGACCAGAAAGGACGCTAGCGGCGGGGGAAAGGACGGCAAAGAACCGAATACTAAATCTGTGTCGAAATTTGCGACCATGCCACAAGGTAACTCGGCTGGCTAGGCATGTGTTTGAGTGGTGAAAACGGGATGCGAATACGTGCGGATCGACGTAAGGAGACATTGCCTGTCACATGAGGCAAATGTTTGAGATTTCAAAGCGAGGAGCTCTAAACGGCAGGAAACGCTTGAAACTCAAGAGACACACGTCGATGTGGAAACTTTCGGAAATGTGAAGGGGATTATGTGCCAAGGTTAATGAGAATTTCAAGCTTTAAACTGTATGGTACACATGGACCTACTCCTTCAGCGTGCACCATCCTTACCTACATATCCGTACCTGATCCGCTCGTCCTTTTTCCTAATCCCCCTTCGCCTACCTAATCCTCACTTCCCCTACGCAATTTCCTTATCCCGTACCTAATCCGCACGACTTGTACCCAATCAATCTTTGTCTGACATACCTCCACTCACACGTTCGTAACCACATCTCGCCCTACTCAATCCACACCTCCCCGTCCTCCCTGCAGCGTCTCAGTTGAAGGCCATAGAGGAGGCTTCAGCCGGGCTCTAGATCGACCCCTAATATTTTCTGCCTGTTGCACCTCGACTCACACGTTCCGACCTACATCTCTCTTACTCCATTTACAACCCCCTGCCCTCCCTGCAGCGTCTCAGCTGAAGCCCATAGAGGAGGCATCAGCCGGGCTGGAGATCGACCCCAAGCTGCTCACCGTGCTGGAAGAAGCAGCGCAGGAGCGCCGCCAGGAGCTTGACCTGCAGGGCCACCACTTCAAATCCCCGCTCGCATACCTCCCCGAGTCCGTGGGGCTTCTGGACTGGATCGTGGAGCTTCGCCTGGCGAACAACGGCCTGGTGGTTCTCCCCCAGGCCATCGGGAACCTCTTCTGCCTCTCGGTCCTCGACACCTCCTGCAACAAACTCGTCGAGGTGCCCGAGTCGATCGGGCATCTGGCGAAACTCCGAGTGCTGGACCTGCACCACAACTACCTGGAAGAGCTTCCCACGTCAATCGGCCACTGCGAGGCGCTAGAGGAGCTCAGGCTCGGGTTCAACTCCCTCACAGGGCTTCCGGAGGCGATCTGCAAGCTGGCGGGGCTGAAGCTGCTGTCTGCGCCGCTGAACCAGCTGACTTATGTGCCGCGGCGGATTGGGAATCTGGAGAAGCTGACGGATCTGGACGTGCATTACAACTCACTGCAGTCGATTCCCGAGAGCATCGGGCGGCTGGAGAGACTCACGTCGCTGAACATCAGTGCGAACCACTACCACCTGAAGGAGCTTCCGGAGACGCTCGGGAACCTGAGGAGCCTGGTGAAGCTGGATATTAGCGAGAATTACATTAAGATTTTGCCAATCTCGTTTGTGAACCTGACGAGTCTGAAGAAGCTGTCGCTGCAGGGGAACCCGTGGCAGCACCCGCCCATGGATGTGGCAAATTCCGGCCTGCAGGTATGGGGTTCGGGCTGAGTTGAATGGGATACGAATGCGAGTTTTTGAAGTTTCTGGTGCCTTTTTTGGGAGCGTTTTTGGGGTCACCTTCCTCCGCTTTTCATCCATGCGCTAGCCTGAATATTGTCTTGTGTGAACTTTTTTTTCCTCTCTGTCTCCTGTGCTGCAGGGCGTGATGGATTATCTGAATCTGCATGATATTGTTGAGGACTCGCATGGAGGACCCAAGAAGCTTGGAGGGCTTCTGGGATTCTTCAGACAGAAGCAGAAGGAAGATCCAAAACTTGCTGCCTGGAAGAAAAATACTCGCACATTATAGTGTGCAGTCTTCGCCTCCTGTTCTATCAGTATACCATCTTTTATGCTTTAGCTTGACCCCTTGTTATTACTGACCCTCTGTACTGCCAGCATCGGGTAGGCATGAACTTTTTTCCATTAGCAAAAAACGTAGTGTTAGTGCTAAGTTTTTTCAATGTTCCATCTATTTCCTGCAATTATACGAGACAATCGAAAAGGTTTTCTCGACATTGCGCGGGAAGTGCCACGCTGATCTCGAGGCAGACTAGGAGCCAAATTTCCGAGCAGGGCGGAAAGTTGAAAGATCGGGAAGAGACCCAGGAAAAATCAGTATCTCTCGCAAGGGAAATGCGTGCAGGAATTCGTGTAGGCAGGAGAGCAGAGGTGATCATTGACTCCAGGCTCGAGGGTTGTGCAATCCTTACGACTACGAAGCGGCGATTCTTATCAGTGAAAATATGACGGAGTGACGAAACGGAGCAGAATCCATGGTTTCACTCAGTGATAAGCCTCACTTCTTCATGCATCGGATTCCCGATTTGTCTCCGGAATTCTAACATTCGAATCTGAGCTTCATTAGTTTAGGTTCTGACTGTAACCACGTTAACTTCATTGTTTCTAGATAGCTTCTTCGAATGGATAGTTTGCCAAAGAATGTGACGCCCGGACGCGGCGGGAATCTCGTGGATTCTCATGTAGACTTCGATATAGCTTCTGGATTTCGCCATACGCCCTCGAATCCTGGTCCCAGTGCATCCTCAAGCAATACTCCTCATAGGTTAGGCGCATTAGGTTCGTCCACCCCCCAGAGTAGCACTAGGCCGGGAATAGGGAGTTACGTTTTGGGATCTGGTAACAGTGGCAATGTGAAGCAAGAACCGTTAGATTGGTCGCCTGCGACTGACGCTGCTGTCGCACGCGCCGCCGGAGATCGTCAGGATTCGCGAGGGAAACATGCGACAACCGATACCGAACAATCTTCGGGAGATAACGACGTCGCAGCGTCGCACGGCGACGAGGTGGTGCGGGAATCCGATCTTGTTCGCGACGTTCTCATCCTGTGCGAAGGAATCGACGGTCGTTACCTCAAGTTCGACGATGACTCGCGATCCGTGCGACTCGTGCCGGGCACGAGAATACAGCAGATACGCATGTGAGTATGCAGGTTCCTGGCAACTTCAGGGAAACATCAGCAATTAACAGAGGATCCTGGTACAGGAATTAGTTCAGTATCCTACTAGGATGCTCTGGTAGCATGATTCACGTTGAGCCTCGACTTTCTCCCCGTTGTTCCCTGTCTCTTCACTCAGGTCCTTCATCGCTCAATCTCCTTGTCCTTCAGCTCCATTTCCATCAGCTGCTCTCCTGCTCTCACTCTTTTTGTCCTTCAGCTCGCTCGCGGACCCCTATGTCCACCCATTTTCCTCTGCGCTACTCCCAGGGCTGAATCTATGCAACTAAGCAGGCTCGGAGTGATGGTTCGGCAAATCCAAGCCTACATTCAGGAAGTCGCGTCGGCCAACTCGGGCAGAATAAGCAGCGCTAGTAGCCGGGGATTGCAGCACGGAGCGGGTCGAGCGGAGCGAGTGACAGTGAAAGAAGAGAGAGCGGGACGGGCGGAGAGAGTAACTGTGAAGGAAGAAGGAACGGGACGAAGGCACCGGACGTTGGTGCAGGAGGGAAGGGGGAGGCTCGCGGAGAGGGGCGTGGGGAACGAGGAGGGAGCAGCGGAGAGGCTGAAGAGCAAGAATCAGATGGTAGGTGGACGGACGAGTTGACGGGTGAGGATAGTGGGGAGTGAAGTGGAGAGGAGCTGGGAGAAAAGGGACGGGGTTCAAAGGGGGGGAAAGGAGTGTGGAGGAATTGGATGCAATTGTGATTTCCGTCCACTCACCCTCTCCCCTCACTTCTTTCCCCGCCTCTCCCGCTCCCTATTCTCGACCCAAACCCACACACCCTTGTTCGCGCCAGGCGTTCTGCGTCGCCCTCAGCACGGCGCTAAGCCAGTTCCGCGACGTGCTGGCGTGTCTGGACGTCCACCGCCACTCCCCCGCGCTCGCCGCCCTTCCGCCTGCGCCATCCCCCGCGCCCCCGCCAGCTCCGCACTCCGCCAGTCCCTCTCTCCGGGGATCGGACCGCAGGGAAGGGCAGGAACAGCAGCGGTGGCGGCAGGAGCGGCAGGGGGAGGAGGAGAGAAAGGCTGCGGAGAGCGGGAGTGCGGCATTGCGGATGGGGGATTCAGAAGAAGGCACGGTGGGGAGGGATGGGTCAGGGGGAGCAGCACCGAGGCTAAGAGAGGGGGGACCCGCTGTGGGGGGGAGGCAGGAGCGGGGTGGGGAGTATCTGCGGCTAAGGCACCTGCTGGCGTTCCTGTCGCCGTGGTTCTTGCGCTTGGAGTGCCTCGTCTGCTTCATTGATGAGTGCAGGTGGGTGGGTGTGTGGGTGCATGTACGGGCGTATGGTTGAACGCTCGGGTGCTGGGGGGTGCTGGGGGGTGCTGGGAGGTGCTGGGAGGTGGATGTTATGAACCCTTTTTGCACTTGGAGTGCCTCGTCAGCTTCATTGACGACTGCAGGTGTGTGCAGGCACAGGTGTGTGCGTGTAGGTACGGGTGCGTGAGTGCATTCACGGGTGTGTGTGTGTATGTACAGGTGCATGGCTGCAGGGACGGGTGTGTGGGTGCACGCATGAATGTCGTTGTTACGTTAGACAAAATATATGTGCTGTTAGAGTGCTTGAAAGTTGCTGTGAGGTGCTGTGAGGTGCTGTGAGGTACTAGAAAGTGGATATCAAGAGCGACCTCCACGCCCTCTTCCCGCCCTCACCCCGCAACCCCAAACCCCCCATGGCCCTTCTTAGACGCGTTGATGGCGAGGAAGAGAGCAGCCCAGGGCAGCGAGCGCGAGCAGCCGGGCGCAGCACTGGGGGAGGCAGGAGGTGCAGGGAGGTGCTGGGAGGTGCTGGGAGGTGCTGGGAGGTGCTGGGAGGTGCTGGGAGGTGCTGGGAGGTGCTGGGAGGTGAATGTCAAATGCCCTCTCTGCGTCCTCTACCCACCCTCACCCCGCACCCTGTCCCTCCAGATCTTTGCGTGGCGGTCCCTTCTTGGATGCTCTGGAAGCGAGGAAGAGAGCAGCGCAGGGCAATGAGCGCGAGCAGTTGAGCGCAGCGATGGGGGAGGGAGTGCGGCCGCTGGTGCAGGGCGTGGCGGAGTGGAATGTCGCGATCTCTCTATGCATCCCCTCCGCACACCCCAACCCCCCTCCCCGTGTCCTCCAGATCTTTGCGCGGCGGTCCCTTCTTGGACGCTCTAGAGGCGAGGAAGAGAGCAGCGCAGGGCGGCGAGCGCGAGCAGCTGGGGGCGGCGCTGGGGGAGGCGGTGCGGCCGCTGGTGCAGGGCGTGGCGGAGTGGGCCGTGCTGGGGAACGTGGATGCCCGCAACGAGGAGTTTTTTGTGCGGTGCAGTGCGGTGGCGGCCAGCAAGGACGTGCTGTGGCAGGAGGGCTTCTGGTGAGGGCGGGGGTTAGATTCCAAAGAATTTGGGTGATGGGCGTGGAGAAAAGGGGTGAGGGGCAGAGATAGCGGGTGTGTTTGAAGGGGTGCGTCCTCTTCTTGTGCTCTTTCATTCCTACTCTCAAGCAGTCCTGTATTGATATGGCTTATAGGGTACAGGCATGGCAAACGCAGAGCCTAACAAGCGGGCTATCTTGCGCATACAAGGGATTACTTCCCTCTCTTTCTTCCCCACTTCCTGCTCTCCCTCCCTTCCACACTCTCCACATTCCTTTGATCACTTCATCACAGGATGGACGAGGCAATGGTCCCTGTGCGCCTCATCCCTCTCTCCCTGGCACAAACCATACTCCGCGTTGGCAAGTCCATTCACCTTGTCTCTCCCTACCCTGCACTTTTTGCTCCGCATCCCCTGATTGCCTCATCACAGGATGGACGAGGCAATGGTCCCTGTGCGCCTCTTCCCTCTCTCCCTAGCACGCACCATACTCCGCGTTGGCAAGTCCATTCACTTCCTTGCCCACTGCTGCGGCGACAGGCTCGGGCCCGAAGCAGCCAAGCAGGTGGAGCGGGAGGTTCGGGGCGCCCGAGCCTCGCTAGAGCTCCGGGACGTGCCGAGGCTGGTGGAGAGGGTGTCAGCACAGGTGGAGACGCGGCTGGTGCAGGTGGTGGTGGGGCAGTTCAATCTGCTGCACCACTGCGCTCTCATCAAGCGCTTCATACTCCTCACCAACGGCCACTTTGCTCAGGTCAGTTTCGGTCTTGGTTCATGCAGGCCTCTGTGTGCGTTGGGTGGTATGAAACATGCGGCTGGTGCAGGTGGTGGGGTTGTTCGCCCTTGGGCCATGCAGCCACTTCGCTCAGGTCTGTGAGGGAAGTTGCAGGAACACTAAACACGACCCAATAGTCTGAACCTCAGACCTGTACCAAACGCTCGTTGGCAATGCTGCTTCCTGTTTGGGTCGACGTAGCATTCATCCCAAGCACAGGTGGACGCAGGAATAGTATGCTGTTGTTGTTGCTCAAAGGAACCTCTTGTGCTGCTCTCGCCGTCATGGCAGGTGCTGCTAGATGAAGCGTCCAGTGAGCTCAAAAACCAGCACCACTTTTAAGGCGCCTAAGGACTTCTCTTGTGGTCTTCTGCTGTCATGGCAGGTGCTGCTAAATGAGGCGTCCAGGGAGTGTCTGTGCATCCAAGAGAGGATTGTTGTTGTTGCTCTCTTGTGCTCTCCCTCTGTCGTGGCAGGTGTTGCTAGATGACGCGTCTAGCGAGCTCAAGAAGCGCTATCGCCCTCTCAGGTGCTTCTGCCTCTCCCGTGCTCTCCCTCTGTCGTGGCAGGTGTTGCTAGATGACGCGTCTAGCGAGCTCAAGAAGCACTATCGCCCTCTCAGGTGCTTCTGCCTCTCCCGTGCTCTCCCTCTGTCGTGGCAGGTGTTGCTAGATGAGGCATCCAGTGAGCTCAAGAAGCCGGTCAACAAAGTCAGCACCATCGCCCTCTCAGGTGCTTCCACGTGTCTGCCTTATGATTCACTCATTCCATCACAATCATTCCCTTACGCTCAACTCTGCTTCTCTTCACTCCATTCCCTCTTGTCTTCTCTCACTATTCATACTCTTGAAGTCATCCCCACTTTAAAAAGTCAGCCTCCAATCCCCACTTGATGAACCAAGTACCTCATCCTTTATCCCCTCCTTCCATGCCTTCCATGTCCTCCCAGGTGCCCTCCATGGAGCGGTGCTGGCATCACTATTCTCAGGGGAGGAACCTGCCCTGGCTGATGCGCTGCAAGTCAAGCTGGTCAACGACAGGTAAGCGAATCAAGCCTTTTCAAGTCTTTACGTGCATGTCCTCACCGAAAGGGATCAATGGTTTATCAGCTTACCGGTTGGCCCCACCACCTTTCACTGTCTTCCTCCCCCAACATTTACCCACCAACCCTCCTCCCGCTCTTTCTCCTCTCCCTGCTCTCCTTCTCTCCTCTTCGTGCTCTCCTTCTCTCCATTACCACCCCAACCGCCCTCCTTTCCCCCTTACTCTCAGCACCCCTGGCATATCTGGCTGGGACGTGTTCACCTTGGAGTACCGCATTCTACCACCTCTCACCGCAGTCATCACCGCAACCGCACAGCACCACTACGCACGCCTCTTCACCGCACTCTTCCTCCTGCAGCGCACCCGTCGCGCCCTCTCCTCCACGTGGCTGGCCCTCAAGCCCCGAGCCTCCAGGCTTCTGCCGCCCGTTGTCAGGGAGTCCATTACTGCTGCGGTCACGGGCAGGTTCGCCGGAGGTTTGGGTTCCCGGGCAGGTGGAGCGGGCAGCAAAGCAAGAAAAGCAGACCCAGGAGGAATGGGAGAGGGCGCTGCTGCTGCTGCTGCTGGTAGTGCTGCTGCGGCTGCTGCTGGTGGGGGGAGTCTGGAAGGTGGTGGTGGTGGTGAAGGGGGGGCGAGAGTGACAGGGGGGTTGCAGGCGTGGAAGGAGAGGGAGGAGGAGAAGCTATTGGTGGGGCCGATGAGGGGCGTGCGGGGCGTGTTCGCACGCATGTCTCAGTTCATGCGCGTGATCGAGTCGTTTGCTGCTCTCAGGATCGAAACCAGCTGGAAGGACATGGTGGAAGGGGCCAAGGTGAGGCTTGGATGCTCTTTGGGATTCTGATGTTTCTGTGTCCATGCATGTGACGTCTCTGTGTCCTTATGATTCTGCATGCTGTACCTCCACTCATCCCTCATCCCCCACCTGGCCTTCCAGAGCGTATTACGTCCAGATCTGATCGCACGCACAAGCTCCTCTCTCCTTCCCACCACCCACTCTTTACTTGTCCCTTCAGAGTGCAACGAATTTGGACGAGCTGATAGCCTGCCACGAGCGCTACCAGCTGGCCCTACTGCGGGCGCTCTTCCTGGACCGCCCCTCTGCCGCCCTCTTGGGCAGTGTGCGCCGCATCTGCCGCCTCGTGCTCGAACTCTCCCACCTGGCTGCCCGCCTGCAGAAGCACACTGACAGCGTCTTTGCCAGGTATGTAGGAGTTTATTCGCCGGGTGAGTGCAGTGTGTTTGCCGTGCAGTGCCTTTGCTAGGCAGATGGAGCGTCTTTGCCAGGTGGGCTTCAGCCATCTGAAAAAACTTGAGAGCAGTTTCATTTCGCGTACCAAGTTGCACACACTGATGGACAGTGACCATCCGCCTCCCGCGTGTTGTCTTCCCCTTCCACTTCACAGGAAGCTTGCTGCTGCACGCACGGCAAGAGCCAGCAGTGGCAGCACCCGGAGCACCTCTTCGCTTCACACCACTGACACCTTGTCATCCGGTTCGGGAGACCTTCACGAGCTTCGGACACAAGTAGCCTCCGTGATCAGTCGGTTTAACGAGGAGGTTCGGGTTGCTGTGGCTGCAATGGAAGCTACAACAGATTCAGAAGAGATCGTTGATCTGGCGCAAAGCTGTCGATATGCAGCCAATATACGACGAGGAAGCCGCATGACTGAATGAACTAGGTATATGAGCCGTAGGGTCAATAATGGAGACTAACACCTGCATGTCTTGTTGTCTAACAAACGAAATTTAGTGAGCTGATTCTGTCATAGTGTACTTCTGTCTTACGTAAGCTGATTCTGTCATAGTGTACTTCTGTCTTACGTAAGTGCTATCTGAAAAGCAGAACTGTATATTGAAGTCTCTGGACAAGCAGTTCGACTCAGCGCGAACCTGTTTCGTCCGTTGGATGCCGAGCGGTGGTTTGGGAATTTCGAATCGACCGTGTGGCCTCCTTCAAAAAATCCCCGGGGCTGCGCTTTTCGCAGCCTAGCCGTTGGTGTAGAATCCCGAACCTCCAGGTTGGTTACCCAAACCTCTGAGTAATTGCGCTGCGCCGGCGAGTGTCAGTCGTTTTGCGGGAGCGCTTCCGCCACCCCGCGTGTTTCGAAGCCAACGGTCATTCTCGACGCTCACGATTCTCGTCAAGAAATGTAACCCTTACTAATGCTGAGGTTGGCCTTATGACGAAAACTCATGCAAATCGCAATTGATTTCGTGAACCACGAAATTGCTTCCCCACTCAGCGAAGCCACCACACATTTGCGCCAAAATTCACGCTGCGCCATGGTTTGGGCCGCAAGCGGAAAACCACCATTCCCGCTGCCGCCGCTGAAACCAACCTTGGGATTGGCTGGCATGGGTCTGGGGTACGCTGAATCTTCTGCTTGAGAAAGAAACCTGCAGTTCATGACACACCATGGCAGACCAGACACCTTTACTCGCCCTTTTCAACCAATCTGAACCGCTATGACCTCTCAATCCCAACCAAACATCGCGTTGGCAGCTTGGAAAGCCCAGCAGCCATTTCCGAATTCCAGTCACTCACAGCCTTCTTTCCCAGGCTCCTCTCCAATTCAGTCTCACCTCCAATTCAGTCTCACAAGCCCTGAGCCATTCCAAGTTTCCACTCACATTTTCCGTTCAGCAAACGCAGTTCGATGCGCCGTTCCCAGTCGTTAGCCTGCTTAGAACGTTTCGACATAAACGTTTTCCGATGCTCGATTTCCGCATGAACGTTTCGACATCGCCAACTAGCCGAATAATCTATGACAGCCAATTTCGGCATCGCCGATTTCGACCAGCAGCGATTTCTCGTTCAGCACCAGTTTCGTCCGCTGGGAGTTTTGTCGTAGCTGCAACCTCGGTGATGAGCAGCAGTTTTGGTCATTATTGGCGATTTCCTCGGCAAGTTTTTGGCCATAAGCTGAGCGAGTTTGTCCGTCCATTAGCAGCGGCTTTATCCGTCAGTAAGTCGTCAGCCGTCAGCCGTCGTCAGAAGCAGCGATTTCGCCTTCAGCACGGAGACATTCGTCGTAGGAAGAATTGCGCCGTCAGCAGAAGAATCTCGCCGTCCGAATCAACGATTTCGCCGTCTCTGCCTCTTCAGTACGTTTCGACGTTAAGACTTCAAGCTCCTTCATCCTTCTGTTTCTCTTATGGGTTTGCTCCCTGACCTGTCGTCTTGATTTTCTCTGAGCTTACTCGCATTTCTTTCTCTCCGTGCAGACAGCACAAGCTCACCGTGGTGCTGTGGCCAACCATCTTCTTCGTTTTGAGACGTTTCAGGACGCACAAGCGAAGCTTTAGTTTCGCGTTTTCAGACGTTTCACGAACGTCCACGACTTTCAATGTAAGCGTCAAAGTGATGGCAGTGGGGAGGTTAGTCGGCATCTACCATAGCCCGCCGCGAGACTCGCGTTTCCAATTATTCCGAGCCATTTTTGACACCAATTTAACATATATTTCTGTTTCTTATGTGCCTTGTCCCGCAGGTTCACCCCTCGAATCACGCATTAGCTCCTGCTCAACGCGAGGCGTTTCCGCTCAAGGCGTTTCTGCTCAAGGCGTTTCCGCTATTCTGGCCTGCAGTCAACGCCAACGCCAACGGACTGTCCTGCTCGCAGATGAGTGCCCCTCCGCCCTTCACTCGCCTCGCTTTCTCCTTTTTCTCGTATGCACTCCGCACTCTCGCCCTGCTCGCTGCAGCAGCAACAGCACCAACACCGCCGCCCTGCTAGCACCATACATCAAACGCCCTCAGTCACACTCAAGAAACCTCCCTCCCCCAAGGTAGCAGGTTCAAAACTTTGGTACGTCCTCAGGTATTTGGTTCTTGCTTGGTTCAGCTGGTACGAGGTATCTTGAGTGCGCCACTGCAGCAGTCCATTCATGTTCGCATCATCCTTGCGTTTCCTTCTCCACTCTTCATTCTCACTTTACTCACTTGATCTGGTCACTTTCCTCATTGCCCTCCTCCCTTTTCTCTGTCCTGTTCCCCCCCCTCTCTTCCCAGCTGGTCGCTCACACGGGAGTGGTCGTGGCGGGGGAGATAGATTGCACAGGCAGCAGCTGCTCTCCACCCAACCCACCCACATTCAGCTAAGTACCCGCCCTGCCTCTTGTGTACATTGTCCTTGCACTTCAGTCCTTGCTGCTTTTCTGTCGCTTGTGCATTTAAATACAAGCCGCTGGTTGAGTCAAAGCTTCAAGCCACAGACCCCCTTTCTTGGGTAATTTCCCCCAGGTACTGCAGGTATTCTCTCAGGTCTGCAGGTAAGCCTCCCTAGGTGTGTACCTCTCTTGGGTCTGCGGCTTGAAGCTGAGTCTGCACCAGTGGCCCCTTCTCTGCTCCCACATGCCATCTCATGCACTCCTCTCACATTTCTACCCCTAGCCGCTTACTCACTTCTCTTCAGTTCTCTCCTTGCCGGTTGAGAGGAGGGGCGTGGGGTCAACACAGCCACTCCCTCACGCTCCTCCCCTGTGGCTGTGCAGGTGCAACGGAGGGGAGGGGCCAGTACTGCACTCGGCTGGGGAGGGAAGGGAGAGTATTGGGCTGGGTTGTCTGAAACAAGGTGAGCCTCTTTTTCCACAAGTGGCCCCACTCCTCGTCCTCCCTGTCTGTCTCGCCTGCACATCTCCCTTTCCATCTGCATACCTCTCTCTCCTTCACTCAACTTCCCCTCCAACTCTCCTCTCCCCTCCTCTCCATCTCCACCCCTTTCCCTCCTCCCCACTCTTCCCTCCGCCCACCCCCCAGCAGCCCCTCTGGTGGCGAGTTTCCAGCACTCCCAGCAGCGCCGTTGGGTGGTGTGAGGCGCTTCAGTGGCGGTAGCACAGCAGCCTCAAGGCTCAAGGCGCCACCGCCACTCACAGCCGCACCACCAGATAAGTACAATCTCTCTAATCCATCTCACTTGTTCATTGCTTTCGCTCTCTCACACGTTCTCTCACATGTTCCCTCACATGCTCGCTCGCATGCATCTGCACATCATCGTTCCATGCATGCTGCATGGCTCCTCTCCTCAAACCAAGCCACTTGCAGCAGCCTAGCCCACATGGTGCAGACCTCCCTATACCAGGTATTCCCCCCCCTCCAGCCCCCAGGTTAAGCCTACCCTAAGCACTACATCTTTACTATAAGCCTCACTACCTCTGGGTGTGCACCATGTGCCTAGCGCTGCTCCAGTGGTCCCTATGCTGCTCTCACCTCCCACCCACCCCTCCCATGCTCGCCTCTCACATTTCTACCCCTAGCCGCTTACTCACTTCTCTTCAGTTCTCTCCTTGCCGGTTGAGGGGAGGGGCGTGGGGGTCAACACCGCCACTCCCTCACGCTCCTCCCCTGTGGCTGTGCAGGTGGCAGTGGTAGGAGGGGAGGGGACAGCATTCCACTTGGCTGGGATGGGAAGGGAGAGTATCGGGATGGGTTGTCTGAAACAAGGTGAGCCTCTTTTCCCTTCCCTGCTGGTGATGCTTGCATGTTTGTACCTTCCTTCACTCACGCTTATGCTTGCTCTTCTCCCCATGCTCGTGTCCTTTCTTGTTCCCTGACCTGCATGCCACTCCGTTTTCTTCTTTACTCATTGCCCTCTGCACTCCTCTGGCCCGCCTTCACATCCCCTACTCTCCTCCCTCTCTCTCTCTGCCAATCTGCTCCCTCTCGTCCCAGCAGGGTGTGGGAGTGGCCGTGGCGGGGAGAAGTAACGGGGAACATGGAGTGAGAGTGGCAGTGGGAGTGGGAGTGGCAGTCGGCAGCTGCTCTCCACCCAAACCATCCACAGCTAAGTCCCTGCCCTTCCTCTCTTGTCTTCTCTTGCTTTCCACGTTCATCCATGTTGCATCCCCTGTTTCGTGTCTATTCAAACGCAAGCCGCTGGTTGAGCCAAACCTTCAAGCCACAGACCCCTTTTCTTGGGTAAATTCCCCCAGGTACTTCAGGTACTCTCTCAGGTCTGCAGGTAAGCCTCCCTAGGTGTGTACCTCTCTTGGGTCTGTGGCTTGTAGCCGAGGCTGCACCAGTGGCCCCCTTCTCTGCTCCCACATGCCATCTCATGCACTCCTCTCACATTTCTACCCCTAGCCACTTACTCACTTCTCTTCAGTTCTCTCCTTGCCCGTTGAGGGGGGCGGATGTGGGGGTCAACACCGCCACTCCCCTGCGCTCCTCCCCCTGTGGCTGTGCAGGTGGCAGTGGGGGGAGGGGAGCGGGGCAGCACTTAACTCGGCTAGGGCGGGAGAAGGGAGAGTATCGGGATTGGGTCGTCTGAAACAAGGTGAGCCTCATATCCCCTCCTTCCCACAGATGCTCTTTCCATCAGTCATACTGTTGCTTGGTCTTCTCCCCATGCCCAATTCTTGTCTCGCTCCTTGCCCTGCAATCCACTCTGTTTTACATCTTTTCTCAAACCATTTCTCTGTTTTGCCCTCTGCACTCCTCTACTCAGCCTTCACATCCCCATCCATCCCCTCCTCCCTTCTCCGTCCTAATCTGCCCCCTCTCGTCCCATCAGGTCGCTCACACGGGAGCAGCAGTGGGGGGGGACATAGAGTGCACCAGCAGCAGCTGCTCTCCACCCAACCCACCCGCAGCTAAGTACCCGCGCTGCCTCTTGCATTCATGTTCATTCCATTTCAGTTTTTGCTGCATCTCCTGCCGCTTGTGCATTCAAACACAAGCCTCTGGTTGAGTCAAATCTTCAAGCCACAGACCCCTTTTCTTGGGTAAATTCCCCAAGTACTGCAGGTATACTCTCAGGTCTGCAGGTAAGACTTCCAGGTGTGTTCCCCCCTTGGGTCTGTGGCTTGTAGCTGAGGCTGCACCAGTGGGCCCCTTCTCTGCTCGCACCTGCCATCCCACCCCACCCATGCACCCCTAGACGTTTTCTCACTTCTCTTCAGTTCTCTCCTTGCTGGTTGAGGGGAGGGGCGTGGGGGTCAACACCGCCGCTCCCTCACACCCCTCCCCTGTGGCCGTGCAGGTGGCAGTGGTAAGAGGAAGGGGGGCAGCACTCCACTCGGCTGGGATGGGATGGGAAAGTATTGGGATGGGTCGTCTGAACCAAGGTGAGCCTCTTCTATCCTCCCTGCCTCAGATGCTTGGATGTCTGTTCTTTCTTTCTGTTACGCTGTTGCTTGCTCTTCTCCCCTCCATGCTCACTGCTGTCCCTTGCTCCCTGCCTCCCTCCCCCTCCTCCTCCCTTGCTCTTTCTGCCCCAATCTGCCTCCCTCTCGTCTCAGCAGGTCACTCATACAGAAGTGGCAGTGGCGGGGGACATGGAGTGCACAGGCAGCAGCTGCTCTCTACCCAACCCACCCACAGATAAGTACCCCGCCCTTCCTCTCTTCTCCGAACCCTCGCACTGTGTAACTTTGCTTGTCATGCTTGCACCATGCGTTACACTCCCTTTTTCACTGCTCTTAGTCACACCCATTAGACCTCCCTCCCCCAAGGTAGTAGGTATATTTTTCTTGGTACAGCCTCAGGTATTCGTTTCAGTTTGGTTCAGCCGGTACGAGGTCTCTTGGGTGTGCCACTGCAGCAGTCCATTCATGCACGCGCTATTCTTGCACTTGCTGCACTCTACGCTCTCACTTCACTCTTTGCAACTTTCCTCACTGCTCTCTCCACTCCTCTGTCCCCCTTCACTCCCCCGTTTTCCTCCCCCCTCTCCTCCCTTCCTCTCTGTCCCGATCTGCCCCCTTCTGGTCCCAGCAGGTCGCTCACACGGGAGTGGCAATGGCGGGGACATGGAGTGCAGAGGCAGCAGCTGCTCTCCACCCAACCAACCCACAGCTAAGTACCCCGCCCTGCCTCTCTTCTCCCAACCTGTCGCACTCTGTTGCTTTTCATGTGCTTCCCTTTGTCACATGCAAATATCTGAACCTTCCTTCAAACCTGAGCCTCTGGTCGTGCTACAACTTCAAGCCACAGACTCCTCTTTTTTGGTAAACCATCCCAGGTACAGGTATGCTCTCAGGTAAACCCTCCCTTTGAGTCTGTGGCTTGTAGCTGAAGCTGCACCAGCGGCCCCCTTTTCTGCTGTCACCTGCCACCCCACCCCACCCCACCCCACCCCACCCCACCCATGCACTACCTTCGCATTGGTACCTCTAGCCGCTTACTCACTTCTCTTCAGTTCTCTCCTTGCAGGTGGAGGGGAGGGGCGTGGGGGTCAACACCGCCACTCCCTCAGGTCTCTCCCCTGTGGTCGTGCAGGTGGCAGTGGTGGGAGGGGAGGGGGGCAGCACTCCACTCGGCTGGGATGGGATGGGAGAATATCGGGATTGGGTCGTCTGAAACAAGGTGAGCCTCATATCCCCTCCTTTCCACAGATGCTCTCTCCATAAGTCATGCTGTTGCTTGGTCTTCTCCCCATGCCCACTTCTTGTCTCGCTCCTTGCCCTGCAATCCACTCTGTTTTGCATCTTTTCTCATTGCCCTCTGCACCCCTCTGCTCAGCCTTCACATCCCCATTCTTTCCCCCCTCTCTTCTCCGTCCCCCTCTCGTCCCAGCAGGTCGCTCACACGGGAGCAGCAGTGGCGGGGGACATGGAGTGCACCAGCAGCAGCTGCTCTCCACCCAACCCAACCACAGCTAAGTACCCAGCCTTCCTCTTGCGTTTATTTTCATTCCATTCAGTCCTCGCTGCATCTCCTATCGCTTGTGCATTCAAGCGCAAGCCGCTGGTTGAGCCAAATCTTCAAGCCACAGACCCCTTTTCTTGGGTAAATTCCCCAGGTACTGCAGGTATACTCTCAGGTCTGCAGGTAAGCCTTCCAAGTATGTTCCCCCCTTGGGTCTGTGGCTTGTAGCTGAGGCTGCACCAGGGGCCCCCTTCTCTGCTCTCACCTGACATCCCACCCCACCCCACCCATGCACTCCTCTCACATTTCTACCCCTAGCCGCATACTCACTTCTCTTCAGTTCTCTCCTTTCCGTTGAGGGGAGGGGCGTGGGGGTCAACACCGCCGCTCCCTCGCGCCCCTCCCCTGTGGCCGTGCAGGTGGCAGTGGTGGGAGGGGAGGGGGGCAGCACTCCACTCGGCTGGGATGGGAAGGGAGAGTATCGGGTTGGGTCGTCTGAAACAAGGTGAGCTTCAATTCCCCTCCCTGCTACAGATGCTTGAATATCTGTTCTTCTTTCACTCGCGCTGCTGCTTGGTTTTCTGCTCATACTCACTTCCCTTGATGCTCCCTGGCCTGCATTCACTCTTTTCTCATTGCACTTCACATCCCCATCCTCTCCTCCCTCCCTTCCTCTCTCTGCTCCAATCCCCGTCGTCCCAGCAGGTCGCTCATACGGGAGTGGCAGTGGCGGGGGACATGGAGTGCAACAGCAGCTGCTCTCCACCCAACCCACCCACAGCTAAGTATCCGCCCTCACTTTCTGCTCCCAATCTCTCTCATGTTCGTCTGCTTTCCACGTTCATCCTTGCTGCATCTCCTGTTTTCTTGTCTCTTCAAATGCAAGCCTCTTGTTGAGCCAAAGCATCAAGCCACAGACCCCTTTTCTTGGGTAAATCCCCCCAGGTACTGCAGGTATACTCTCAGGTCTGCAGGTAAGCCTTCCAAGTGTGTTCCCCCCTTGGGTCTGTGGCTTGTAGCTGAGGCTGCACCAGGGGCCCCCTTCTCTGCTCTCACCTGCCATCCCATCCCACCCCACCCATGCACTCCTCTCACATTTCTACCCCTAGCCGCATACTCACTTCTCTTCAGTTCTCTCCTTTCCGTTGAGGGGAGGGGCGTGGGGGTCAACACCGCCGCTCCCTCGCGCCCCTCCCCTGTGGCCGTGCAGGTGGCAGTGGTGGGAGGGGAGGGGGGCAGCACTCCACTCGGCTGGGGTGGAAGGGAGAGTATCGGGCTGGGTTGTCTGAAACAAGGTGAGCTTCTTTTCCCTTCCCTGCCACTGATGCTTGAGTGTCTGTTCTTTCATTCTGTCTAGCTGTTGCTTGCTCTCCTCCCCACCATGCTCCCTGCCTTCCTCCCCTCCACCCCATCCTTCGCCTCACTCATACAGAAGTGGCAGTGGCGGGGCACATGGAGTGCACAGGCAGCAGCTGCTCTCCACCCAACCCACCCGCAGCTATGTTCCTGCCGTGCCTCTCTACTCCCGTTCTCTCTTGTTTTCATTGCTGCATCTCCTGTTTCTTCTCGCTTCAAACGCAAGCCTCTGGTTCACCCAAAGCTTCAAGCCACAGACCCGTTTTTTCTAAGGTAGATCCCCCCTGGTACAGCAGGTATACTCTCAGGTTAAGCCTTCCTAGGTATATTTCCCCCTTGGGTCTGTGGCTTGTAACTGAGGTTGCACCAGTGGCCCCTTCCCCTCTGCTTCTTCTGATCGTGCATCTCCTCCTTCACCCCCTCGCCTCTCCTCCAGTCACTCACTATTTCTCTGTGGGTCATTGCAGGTGGAGGGGAGGGGCGTGGGGGTCAACACCGCCACTCCCTCATGTCTCTCCCCTGTGGCCGTGCAGGTGGCTGTGGTGGGAGGGGAGGAGGGGAGAACTCCACTCTGCTGGGATGAGATGGGAGAGTATTGGAATGGGTCGTCTGAACCAAGGTGAGACACTTTTTCCCTCCCTGCTACAGATGCCTCATTTCCCTCTCTTCAATTCTGCATTCTTGTTTGTGTCCACTCTAGTGTTCTTCGGTTTGCTTGAGTGTTTCCTTGATGCCAACTTACTCGCTCCTCCTGCCCCTCCTCTCCCGTCCCTCCCACCCACCCCCACCCCCCAACTTTCTGCCCGCTACCAGGTCACTTGGCAACAAGAGAAGATTGCAGAAGAGGAAGCAGAGTAACAGACTGGCAGCAGCAGTTGCAGCAGCAGAAGCAGCGGCGGCAGCAGCAGTAGCAGCAGTGGGGGTGGGGGGTTAGGGGGCAGGTTAGGCTAGGCTAGGCTAGGCTAGCTGTGGGGAGGTGTGATTTGGTAACAGGTGCGGTAAGGTATCACGTGAGGTATGGTAGTCTGATTCTCTCCTCTCTCTCTTCCCCCTCCCCCCCTTGTCTTTTTTGCAGCCTGAGAGTGGGAGCACTGGAGCAAGGACAGGGGAACGAAGTCCACCCTCTCACTCACCTCCTCCTCTCTCCTTTTCCCTTCCCCCCCAGCAGCACCCTGCCTGGACCACAGTGGAGTCCCCTCCTTCCGTTCATCCCCCCCTCCCTTCCCCCACCCCCTTCCCAGCAGCTTAAGGCATCATGGCGCTCTGCATGGCTCTGGTAGGTAGAGGTAGGTATAGGTAAGGAGGCATGGGGGTGAAGTGTGGGGTGGGTGGGTGGGTGGGTGGGTGGGAAGCATGGGAGTGAGTGGGCAGTTTACTGCCTTAGGGGCAGCTTCTTCAGGGGTTGTGCCTTGTGGGGTGGGGTGTGGTGGGTGGAATCTGCGCGGCACGGCACTCGGTGCTCAAGTAACCGATCTGGCGTTTAAGGCCTAATGGACACCGTCAGAGCCGACCGGCCGGCGGCTCTGGTTCGCGTCAGCTCTGGCTACGTCAGGGGTGGGATTTGAGTCTTGGGCTGGAAGCAATTTTCCACTACCACTCCTCGCCCTGCAAGGCGTAGCTCCCTAGGTTTGCTGTTTCCGAAAGCAGGTGGGCTGTCTGCTGCTCCTACTGCTAGCAGGTAAGGTGGGGAGGGGATGGGTGGGCTGGGTGGTGATGGTGGTGAGAGGCAATGGGGTTGGCAGTGGCTCCAGTCAGTGAGCTCCAGTCAGTGAGCTGAGGAGGGGATGGGTGGGCTGGGTGGTAGTATAAGTGGTGGTGGGAGGCAGTGGGGTTGGCAGTGGCATATGATGAGCCATATGGCACTAATGCCACCTGTTGTTGGTGGCACATGATGAGTTGCACTGATGCCACCTGTTGTTGGTGGCACATGATGAGTTGCACTGATGCCACCTGTTGTTGGTGGCACGTGATGAGTTGCACTGATGCCACCCTTGCATGATGCATATGAGTGGGTGAAAGGGGCTGAGTCCCCTTGGGTTGGTGAGATCAAGTGAAAGGGGCTGAGTCCCCTTGGGTGGGTGAGATCAAGTGAAAGGGGCTGAGTCCCCTTGGGTGGGTGAGATCAAGTGAAAGGGGCTGAGTCCCCTTGGGTGGGTGAGATCAAGTGAAAGGGGCTGAGTCCCCTTGGGTAGGTGAGATCAAGTGAAAGGGGCTGAGTCCCCTTGGGTGGGTGAGATCAAGTGAAAGGGGCTGAGTCCCCTTGGGTGGGTGAGATCAAGTGAAAGGGGCTGAGTCCCCTAGGGTGGGTGAGAGCAAGTGAAAGGGGCTGAGTCCCCTTGGGTGGGTGGGAGCAAGTGAAAGGGGCTGAGTCCCCTAGGGTGGGTGAGATCAAGTGAAAGGGGCTGAGTCCCCTTGGGTGGCATATGATGAGCCGTATGGCACTGATGCCACCTGTTGCATGAGAGCATGATGCTTATGCTTGAAATTATTCTGAGTGGTGAGAGTTAGAGGTGACAGCGGTGAGAGTGAGTGAGTGGTGGGGGATATTTGTGAGAGTGAGAGCACAGAGGGTGGTGAGGGTGAGGTTTGGGTGGTGGTGAGAGTGTGGTGAGATTGAGTGGTCAGAATGGTAAGAGTGTGGTGATACTGAGTGGTGAGAGTGAGTGGTTACAGTGAGTGGTGAGAGTGCAGTGAGAGTGGGTGGTGAGATAGTGGTGATCTTCAGTGAGTGGTGAGATTGCAGCGAGAGTGGGTGGTGACAGTGGCATGAGGTGCAACAGTTTGCAGTATACCGGGATGTCATAATGGCAGCTGTGGGCATGCAAGAGCACACCAAGTATGCATGTTTGCACTCGCGCATACATGTGTGTATGCATGCAGTGTGCATGAATTTGCACATGCGCGAGTGTACATGGTATTATTTCTCCCATATACCATATCTCACCAGCTGGTTTTATTCTCTCCTGAGGTTCTGGAAAGGGAAATTTTCTGGAATGTATGGGCGTAAATGGGTGGATTTGCTCATGAAGGAGGTTCGGGTTGCTGTGCCTGCAATGGATGAGGTAGGAGGAAAAAGAGGATCGCATCAACAATCCTCCCGCCACCTTCGCACGTCGCACCCCGACCTCACGGCTCGGCGGGTAACTCGCGCTCCGGGCCTCCGCTTCGACATTTTCCCCAACCTCAGTCCCAGGCCCGACGCGCGGCAACCACAGTCCATTACCGTTACCACTGTAGTTTCGCTATATATTCTTCGCTCATGCCTTCGCTCATTGTACTCTTGCTTCGATAGTGCAATTCTCGCTCTCTCACTCAATTGCACTCGTAACAAGAACTTTCATTTCCTGGTACAGTACCTGTGATGTGTTGGTGCTTGTTCGGAACCATAACCAAGTACACTGTTTCCCGCAACACATATTCAATCAACACAAGACACACAAGATCCTATTAGCATGAATCATCTAAGGTCACGCACATCCATATAGGACACACGAAGTATAGTAAAGCATGCACCTCCCTGGTAAGAAGGTACACCTGGTCAAACGCATATTAACAAGCCTTACAAAAGCATGGAACATGTAGGAGAAGTTTCCATTCATCTATGCAAACAGTGCTCTACACCAGTGATGCAGGGTCCTTCCTTCGGCCATGAAGTCATGCAATTTTAGTTTATTCATATGCTGCATTGCACTCGCTGTGTGCCTATCCGACGCGGAAGGAGGAGAGGATCTGCTTGATGTCACTCGAGTATTTCTTCCATTGCCGACCTGGTGGGACGAGGTGAGAAGAGAGGGGGGTGCAGAAAGCAGGGCAATGAGCAAGGAATTAGGAGTGTGTGTGGGCACAGGAGGAGGTTCTGCTTGATGTCACTTAAGTACTTCTTCCATTGCCGGTCTGGTGGGAAGAGGTGAGGGTGGGAAAGAGGGTGAGAAGGAGAGGGTGCATAAGGGGGTTGAGAGAAGGCGGTGGAGAGGAGAGGATTGATAAAGAGCGTTGAGAGAGTGGTGAGGAGAGGATCTGCTTGAGGTCACTTCCGTTGGGTACCTCTTCCATTGCCCACTGCCAAGTACACAGACACTCTTGAGGCGGCTCAAAAAGGCACATCTGGTCACCACTGGCACAGACACCAGACACAGCAACAGGCCACGCACCTGTCGCAGCGATGGCTATGATGTACATTTAAAACACACATCCAGTTACCATCAGCAGATACGTCACAAGTATGTTTGTAACTCACCAGACGCAACGATGGCCATCGTGTACATGCGATTGCCGACAAAAGTACAGTCTTGGGTGGGACCCCTAATAGCACCACTCTGACTAAGAACCACCCTAGACTCGATAGCCACTCATATACCAGTACCCCCATCCGTACAGAACTCACCCAACGCGGCAATGCCCATGATACTCATCCAGTTGCCAGCCGCAGTAGAGTTTTCAGATGCAGGTGAATCAAAGTCCCCTCTAACTCACAGAACCCATTATACACTCAATATTCCCCTCACCGCACTCACCAGACGCAGCGACGCCCATGATGTACATGCGATTGCCAGCAGCAGTGGCGGACACGAGGATATGCGGATCCACGTCTTACTCTTAGTACGTCCGCCCGCCCTTAGAGACCACCTTCGTGTCGTTCACGCGCCCCTCCACGTTCTCGCCCGTGATTTCCGGGCCGAAGGCCGTGATCACGCGCTCCGGGTCGCCCACGCTCTCGATTCGCACGTCGTCGCCGAGCCCGTCGGCGAATCGCAGCACGGGCGCGACGACGATGAACAGCTTGCCCTGCTGCTTGCTCGCGAACCGCAGGTCGATCTCCGTGCCGCCCAGATCCGCGATGGACACCGGCGTCTGGTGTGAGCAGTTGGGAGTGATTGAGAGCGGTTGGGAGCGGTTGGAAAGAGGGCTAAATGTGCAACTTCGCAGCGAACCGCTGCTTGTAAATCCAATAACACGCGCACTGATAGCACTAGCGGCGATGCACATTACGTGCGTTGCCAGGGGTGATGGCAACTGTTGGGATTGCTCCCACGACAGCCTCGATGACCCGGATTTGCACCAAATTTCACGCCATGTTTCTCGTTGTGGTGTCGAAACCGAAACATTTCAATTTGATCTTATATAATTTTATTTGTTTCAGGCGCCCTCCTCCCAGGTGTCGAGCACCGTCAAGCTGCACGGACTCCGGAGCCTCAAAGTAATAACAAGACAAACTATGACGCGTATCTTTACCACAGTGAGCGTACCTCCTCCCAGGTGTCAGGCACGGTGAAGCTGTACGGGATGAGCTCGCTCCATCCCACGCCGTGCCCGCCGGACTTGCTCGCCGGCCGCTTGTACGTGCGCCAGCCTGACAGGTCACACCACACATGCACACAGAAACGGTCGGACTGAGTGACGAGCACACGGGGCCGTAAGTAGCACCAGAAACGGACGCAGACGGAGTTCTTGATACGCAGTACTTAATCAGAAGTCTTGATGAAATAACTGGGGAAAGACGAGTGAAGTAACGAGGAATATTGTGTCACCGTTTTCGTCGGGTTCGGAGAGCCCTGGAACGCGGCCGGCGACGGCGGTGGTGGGAATGATTGCATTCGCTGGGCCGGCGGCGAGCGAGGCGGCGAGAGCTGCCATTGCCGGGAGCGTTACAACTGTGCGACGCGCGATGGGTGTAGCGTGTGTCACGGCGGGAATGGCGGACGCTGAAGTGGCCGACGATGCATCATTTTTATTGTTCGCCGAGGCTGCGACGAATGGTTTCGGCGTGGCTCGTCGCAGGGGCGAGTGCGACGAGGGGGTGGCGGCAGTGCGAAGGCGGAGAGAAAGAGCGGACGACTGGGAGAGGCAAGTGAGTTCCGCCATGACTGCTCGCCGACGATGAGAACTCCAAAACTCAGGAATGAAGATAGACAAGGCACACGAACGAGATATATACGTGTGAGCCAAACAAACAGAAGTAATCATGACTGAAGTGGCAGGACTGGTATTTATGTTCTGAATGGTTTGGCTTTGGACATGGTTCGGACTAGAAATAGTGGTGTCAGGGGGATGGTATCTAGGCCGCTGGATTTGGAGGGTAAACTAGGACGAAGGGAGTGTCGCTGTTGCGAAATTCCACGAACTGTTCGGCAAAGCTCGTTACTCCGATTGTGGAGTGCGATTGGGTGAGTGACGAAGGACCCCGCGAAAGCTTCCAAGATTTTGATGACGAGGCGACTGGACTGTTCGGGTGACACTTGGTCGAACGGAATTGGAGGCACGCTCCCTCAGCAACGATGCGCTGACGTGCCGGCACGTAGACGGGAGAAGGGAGGACTGCATCTGCTGACGTGTTGGCTGAGTCACAGATGTATAAAACTCGATTTGATTAAAACTATACCGAGCAGTGTCACACTGCCGCTCAATGTTTTCCATATTAATTTTCCCTTTCAATGCTACACAATTTCAACTAAAGATGACCAGAGAGAACCTTGAGTATATTATGCTGATGTATACTCATTTGTGTGTCAAAAGTACAAATCTATTTCCAGCTACAAAAGTGTTTTGTCCATGAACTAATGACCTCAGGACCATTCTCCCTTACGACGACTTGGTAGCAGCCTCCTCTGTCCGTGGAATGATGACACCATAGCCACCGTGCTTCCTCTTGTACAGGATGTTGATCTCACCTGAATGAAAAGAATCGAGAGAGAACAGAGAGATAACACGTGTAGGTAAGAGAAGGAACCACAATTGGCAGCTTGTGGACAAACGCCACTGTGCTCTACCCTTCTGTACCACCCTTCACACCTTGGCAGTTGACTTCCATAATTATTGTACTTCCTTTGCTGTTAAAAGTGTTCTGTGCAGTGCCAGGCCATGGCCGCATTTTTCTGACACTCTTCCTTGCCAGCATCACTCTTCCCTGTGTGACACCCAACTATCCACTCCTGAACGCCTAGAAGCCGTGCTCCAGGTGTGGGGATCTGCCACAGGCAGGCCACACGGACATGCCATTTGTTGCACGAGCCCCCCTTGCCATCATTCCCTCCCTCGCATTTACCAACCCTCCCTCCCCCTCCCGTCCCCCCCCCACCATTGACCAATCATAGTCCACGCTGACGTGCTGCTCCCCTCCTCTTGCCACCTGCACCTCCCCCTCCCCCACTTCTTCGTGTCAATACTAATCCCCCCCTCACCCCCTCCGCCCTTCAGTCCGCGCCACTCACCCTAATCCCCGTCATGGTCCACGTTTATGAGCTGCTCCAGTGCATCTTGCCACCCGCCCCTCCCCCTCCCTCTTTCGCCATTAACCGAGTACCCAAACGGCCCTAACACCACGTCACTCACCCAAATCCCCGTTGCGGAGCGCGTATAAAGTCGTGATCCACGTTCACGAGCTGCTCCGCTCCTACTGCCACCCACCCAACCTCCCCTCCCCTTGTGCCCTAACCCAGTGAACACCCTCCCCATGCGCCACTCACCGGAATCCCCATTGCGGAAGGCGTAGAAGTCGTGGTCCACGTTCACGAGCTGCTCGAGCGCCTCGTACGTGCTCATGGGGGCCATCTCGAAGTACTTGGTGCGCACCACCTGGGGGGAGGGTAGATAGGCCAAAGGTGGGTCGGTGAGGGCAGGGGAGGGTAGCAAGAGGGGAGGAACGAGGCAGCATGTCGCTCAAGGTCAGTGCGTCTCTTGCATCCAGTAAACGCTAACCACCTTTCCGGCAGCATCCCACCCGGCTTCTGCGCGTATCGCATCTGTCATGTGCGTCTGGGCGTTACAAGCGGTTGCTCACCTCGTCGGGCAGGTCGCTGGTCTGGCGGTTCAGGATGGGGCTGATATCAACGGGCGTCTCGGGCAGCATCTCGCCCAGCTTCTGCGCGTGCCACACCTAACAGGCTCGTACGCGTTACAAGCTGTCGCTCACCTCGTCAGGCAGATCGCTGGTCTGGCGGTTCAGGATGGGGCTGATGTCAACCGGCGTCTCAGGCAGCATCTCGCCGAGCTTCTGCGCGTTCCGCATCTGCCACGTGCGCCCGTGCCCGCCGTCCTTCTCCTTGATCTTGCGCAGCTTCCGCGAAACCACGTCCGACACCTTGTCGATCGCAGCGTACGCGGACTCCGCCTCTTCCTCCGCTCGCAGCACGCCGTGCTTCTTCGTGAAGATGGTAACCTGGTAACGCGAGGGAGGGCAGACGAAAATGCTCAGGCGACGGCGGACAGCGAAAGCGCGACGAGTTAAGAAACCGGTACAAATCCCGCTTACCAGATTCTGGTGAATCCAGCCGCTGGGGACACACCGGAACCCTAAACCTTCAGCAGTGACAATGGTGACCAAAAGAAGGGAAACGGAACAGCGAGAGGCACAGGAAATGGAAACAGAAGCAGCGAATGGGAGAGAAATGGATGAAGCGGGGTGGCAGATACCTCGCAGCGCTGCTGGCGCGGGCCCTTGGTGTTGGAGTCGCCGCCGCGCACGGAGAGGCGCACGTCGACCTCGCGGCACAGCGCGCTGTGGTTTTGCACCGCGTGCCCCACCTTCTCCTCCACGTACGCGCGGATCGAATCCGTCAACTGCGGGGGACCGGGAGGGGGTTACCGAGGAGGGGGAGGGGAAGAGGGAAGGTGGGTGGGTGAAGGGGGGAAGGGCGGATGGAAGGGGAAAATAAGATGGGACAGCATGAGAGGTTGCACGAAGTGCCGGGACCTTCTCATCGCCGTACGTTCGAGATCGCCTGCTCGCCAGTTGCGGATCGGATTCAGAAAAGAACAACACTTAGGGAAGAACATCTCGATGGGAAGAACACCACTTAGGGAAGAAGAACACCAGTTCATAAGCATCGATTCATGCGGATTTGCACGGCGTGCGGCGCATTGATAGCCGGGTATGTTTGAACTGAACAGGAAACACAGACAGTGTGTGTGGGACATTGATACCTCGCGAAATCCGGTGTAGGCAGTAAGAGAGCAGAGCGGATGCTCGAAACGTAAACGCAAACCTGATTCTTATCGTCTCGCGAACACACATCACACAAGCCATCCTCGGAATATCCGCGTCATCCGCTTACGAACAGCACGCAACCCCACGTGCTTCCGTTGAACAATGAGCCGAACGGTCATTCAATTGACTCAGAAATTGAGCGGCACGCACCTCCATGTGCTTCCCTTGCACGATGAGTCGCACGGCAGCCAGCGCGCCTCCCCACGCCATGTTCGCCATCGCGCGTCGCCCCGTCAGCTGCGTGCCGCCGATCCGCAGCCGACTCGGGCCCGCTGGTGCGCTTGTTTGGCATGGCGCCGCAGCGGTTTGCTTCAGGAGGGGGTTGGCGGGAGAAGCGTCGGCGAATCTTCCGAGGAACGCGTTGGGGAGGATGGCTGATACTGCTGGACGGGACGCGGCGATGGATTTGAGCGGTGCGAGCTTTGATGGGATGGCTGACACCGCTGCTCTCGCGACCAGAAGGCTCGACGACGCCATCCTTACTGGTAGATTCGGTGGAGGAAAATGCGATAGGGGCAAGAGAGAAGTGACTTTTGCGGAAAGGGAAATAGGAATTTTCCCAACACAACACGAGCTGGTTAGTGCTTCTACCTGCCTACTATGTCAGGATGGACTGCAGTCTCAAGAATCTGAGAAACATACGACTATCTAGAATGGACCAGCTTTCAACCTAGTACATTGAGCGGGTAGTCAAAACAGTTCATCATTTTACGGTTCAGTTAGTTATTGTGCGTTCACGAATGGTTTGTACATAGAAGTGAATGGTTGAGTAAGGTGTTTAGGAAAAACACATTTCTGCCATTGCCTGAGAAATGGAGAGCAGAAGAAGAAAGGACCTTGGGATTTGCCGCGAGGCGAGATGCTCAGCTGCGGCGGGGAGAAGTGCGGGGAGGTTGCGGGGGAGCGGGAGGTGCGGGAGGCTGATAGGGGGAAGAGATTTCTGAGCCACGCTGGTAGGTGTGGCGCAACTGCTCCCCCACACCACAATATCGGGCCAGCAAAGTCGTGCCAGCGCTTCCATTGCCACGAAGGTAATTCTGACGTGGGAACGTGAGAGAGGTGGGGGGCTCCGCAAGATGGGTCACGCAGATATGATCTGAGCTGGAGGTTTGCAAAAATCAACCTCGATAGTCAGCAACCCATCACGAGATATAAGCCCATCTTGATACATTCCTCTCGAAATGTAAACACTGTACCCGGAAATCCGATTCTATGAATCTGCATCATTCACACTAGCCGCAGGGTGCAGGCAGATTTGAAATTCATTGCAGCAGGATTCAGACTGGTTTTCCTCAGTCGTTCCACACGAGCCGCACGATTGCGACTCCGCGTTACGCGGTAGTGAATCGGCAGCCACCTTCGCTGCCTTATAGGACCGAAGAATTTGCAGGCCGAGGTTGATTACCCACGACACGCGCAACTCTTTTTGCCTCGCCTGACTCCCAACCATGGCGGCAACAGCAACAGCAACAGCAGCAGCGGCACCTGCGCCGCCTGCAGCGGCGACGGAGCTCGTCGAGTTCCTGAATCGTTCGTGGACCGCCTTCCATGCTGTAGGTGGGTACGCTATCGATTTTATTGAGATTTCGGAAATCAACGCGCGAAGTGTACGACGAATTTCGTGACTCGCTCCTGGACCGCCTTTCATGCTGTAGGCTCGTGCTGGATCGAATTTACACGGTCTAAATCCGAGATCGTCTTATTGCATCCTAACCGTCGAAATCAAACTTCTTTTCGTCTCTTTGTCGGCCGTTCGAATAGTTTTTTATTCCGACATCGGGGTCACGCCGGCTTCGTTTTTACTATGCCGTTTCCCCTCCAATTGGCGCGCAGACGAGTGTCGCCAGCGGCTGCTGAAAGCAGGTTACCAGCAGCTGTCGGAACGCGAAGAGTGGCGACTGGAGCCCGGCGGAAAGTACTTCTTCACGCGCAACTACTCCACTATCGCGGCCTTCTCTATCGGAAAAAAGTGAGCGAGGGTGACTGTAAGCCGTACGGTGGGGAGATACTGTACCACACCTGCTTCGACTGTGCGTGCCTGAAGCTAAAAGCAACCAATCACTGCCCAGGAGCACGAAAACAGCAACCCTTCTTACCTCTCCACCCTCCTCCTCCCAATTCCCCACCCTCCCCTCCTCCCTTCCACCCCCCGTTCACCAGGTTCAAGCCAGGGAACGCGTTCTGGATCATTGGAGCCCACACGGACAGCCCGTGCCTCAAGTTAAAGCCCAACAGCAAGGCGAGCAAGGCGGGGTTTCTGTCGGTGGCCGTGCAGACGTACGGAGGGGGCCTGTGGCACACGTGGTTCGACCGCGACCTTGGGATTGCCGGGAGGGTCATCCTCCGCCACGTGGAGGGCGAGGCGGGGGGAGAAGGGGGGGCAGGGGAGGGAGGCGGGGAGGGAGGGAAGACGCAGTCGGTGGCACGGGTGCGGCTGGAGCATCGGTTGGTGCAGATTGATCGCCCCGTGATGCGCATCCCCACGCTCGCCATTCACCTCGACAGGTGGGTAGGGCAATCTGGACGGGCTGTGTGGGCTTTAGAGTCGTCATGCGCCTGCTGTCCTGCTGCTCCTCCTCCTCTCCTCTTGAGGGGCCTCAAAACTGCTCCTCTCCTTCTGTTCTCCTTTCACTTACCCCCTATCCGGCATGCTTATCTCACTTTCCCTGCTCCGGCCACTAACAGGGAGGTGAACACGAGTGGGTTCAAGCCCAACACTCAGACGCACTTGCTGCCCGTGCTCGCCACTGCAATCAAGGTCCGTTGCTCCCGCCTCTCAACCGCTCCTCCCAACCATTCGCCACTCATCTCCTCTCCTCACCCAACTGCTCTCCTCACCTGCTCATCTCACCTCCTCATCTCACCTCCTCATCTCACCTCCTCATCTCACCTCCTCATCTCACCTGCTCATCTCACCTCCTCATCTCACCTGCTCATCTCACCTCCTCATCTCACCTCCTCATCTCACCTGCTCATCTCACCTCCTCATCTCACCTCCTCATCTCACCTCCTCATCTCACCTGCTCATCTCACCTCCTCATCTCACCTCCTCATCTCACCTCCTCATCTCTCCTCCTCATCTCACCTCCTCATCTCACCTCCTCATCTCACCTCCTCATCTCACCTCCTCATCTCAACTCCTCATCTCACCTCCTCATCTCACCTCCTCATCTCACCTCCTCACCTAACCTGCTCATCTCACATATGCGCCTTTCTGGTTGTGCCCCGCTGCGTTTGCCACAGGAGGAGCTGAATCGACCAGCCCCTGCGAGTGAGACTGGCAGCAAGGAGGGTGAGGGCAAGGAGAAGGGTAAGGGGAAGAAGGATGAGGCCGCTGAGAGGCACCACCCCTTGCTGCTGCAGGTGAGGCGACTGCTGAGTCCACTCAAAAGTGAGGGTGGGGTTGACGGCAATGACGGGTAGGGCAGGGAGATGGCCAAGGGAAAGAAGGATGGCTCATAGAGAGGCCCCACCTCTCGCCAGCATGGATAGCAGACATGGACCTGCACCTGTGCGCCACACAACCCAGCGACATTGCCGCTGCATGTGTAACCTTTCTCCTCTCTACCTCTCTTCTTCCCCATCACGTACTGCAGCTCCTCGCATCGGAGCTAGGCTGTTCCCCAGCAGCCATAGCGGATTTTGACCTGCAGCTGTGCGACACACACCCCAGCGCCATCGCCGGTGCATGCATGTGTAACCTTTTCCCCCACTCCACCTCTCCTCTCCCCCATCCCCTTCTGCAGCTCCTGGCATCGGAGCTAGGCTGTTCCCCAGCAGCCATAGCGGACTTCGACCTGCAGCTGTGCGACACCCACCCCAGCGCCATCGCCGGTGCGCTCAACGAGTTTGTCTTCTCTGGCCGCCTTGACAACCTCGCCTCCTCCTTCGCTGCCCTCCAGGTACTTCTCGAACAGGCTTGTAGACAATTTCAAACAGGTTCGTCAACGTGTTATTGGTAGACTTACCTTTATCGGTAATTTCTGCCCCACTGGCCGTGCGCTGCTCTGCTCTCAACGAGTTCATTTCTTATCCGTTGCGCACACAGCATACGCACATGACTTGACAATGTCGCACTCAGCATCTCACAGTTCTCACCAGTACACTTCCACTGCCCTCTGCCGCACGCCCCTCTTGCCCTCATCACCACCGTAAGCAACCCCTGATGGCTCTTCTTTCCCCTTATTTATCATTTCTCCCTCCATTCTTTGTCCCTGCAGGCACTACTGGCAGCAGGAGAAACAGAGAGCGAGGAGGCAGAGAGCGGCGTGCGAATGGTGTTGCTGTTTGACAATGAGGAGTGCGGTAGCGACTCCGCTCAGGGCGCAGGTTCCCCTCTGCTTCTAGATTCCATTCGCCGCATCAATGCTGGCACTGCTGCTGCTGGTGCTTCGCCTTCCGAGGTGAGTAGTGAGAGGACAGTGAGGGGAGCGTGAGTTGTGACAGTGCCTCCGTTTCATTCTGCTCGGGGCGCGGGTTCCCCTCTGCTGCTCGATGCTGTTCACCATGTCATTGCAGCAACTGATGCAGCAGCTGCTGTTGAGCTGCTGCTGTTGGTATTCCATGCCATGCTGTGCCTCTCGAAGCCATACCATGCCATCCCATCCCATACCACTGCACCCTACTCCATCACACCCCACCGCACCCCACCCCCTGGCAGGGAGTGGTGGAGCGGTCTCTGCAGAAGAGCTTCGTGGTGTCAGCAGACATGGCGCACTGCCACCACCCCAACTACCCCGTCAGTAGCCTTCTTATCCTCCGTCGCCTCCTATCTCCCCTCCCTAGCCTCCTATTGTGTCAGCAGACATGGCGCACTGCCACCACCCCAACTACCCCGTCAGTGCCTTCCTTACCTCCTTAGCCTCACCAGCCCCCCTCCCGAGCCTCGTTTCCTCTGCCTACTGTGTCAGCACACGTGGCACACTGCCACCACCCCAACTACCCCGTCAGTACCCTCCCTAGCTCCATTCGTTTCTAAGTCGTCTCACATTTTCGTCTAACCTTTCATTCTAAAGTGCTAATGTTGCCAGCAGACATGTGCACTGCCACCATCCTAACCACCTCATCAATTTCCTCGTGAGCTTCGCTCGTCTTTGCATACTTGCTTTGTCAAGGAGTGAGCTGTATTGTCAGGCACGGCACACGGCCACCACCCCGTCATTACCTTCCTTTGTACTCCTCATCCTCCCCTTGCTGGTGTTTACGATCCCCTCTACTTCTTCTCAACGAGTCAATGAGCAATGGCATTTTCCTTCCGCTTTGCAACCCCCCACCCCCCCTATACAAACAGGAGAGGCACGAGGAGCTACACCAGCCGAAGATGCACAAGGGGTTGGTGATCAAACACAACGCCAACCAGCGCTACGCCACCACTGCTGTCACCGCCGCTCTCTTCCGCGAGATAGCCACGTGCCACGGCATCCCCGTGCAGGTGAGCAAAGAGTAAGAGAGGGCAGGTACGCCAATGGTACCCTGGTAATACACCAAGGCAAAGCGCCACGCCACCACTGCTGTCACCGCTACTCTCTTCCGCGAGGTCGCCACATGCCATGGCATCCCCGTGCAGGTGAGCAAAGAGAGGGTGAGCAAGAGCTAGAGTGAGCTTTTCATTCGGCAGACAGTGTGAGACCCCTGGTTGTTGCCACACTCAACCCCTCCGTTTCCTACCCTCCCCCACCCATGCCACCAACCCCACCCCTCCCGCTCCCTCCCCACGACCCCTCATCAGGACTTTGTGGTTCGCAATGACACGGGGTGTGGCAGCACCATTGGTCCCATCCTCGCATCAGGAGCCGGCATTCGCACCGTGGACGTGGGGGCGCCTCAGCTGTCCATGCACAGCATTCGCGAGATGTGTGGCACAGATGACATCGGGCACATGGTCAACCACTTCACTGCGTTCTTCAGGGATTTCCCTGCCTTGGATGCTCGTCTCACCGTGGACTAGAGCTAAGGGGGGAGGGCAGCAGTCGGGGGGTGCAGCTGTCGTGTGGATGCACAGCATTAGGGAGATGTGTGGGACAGATGACATTGGGCACATGCTCAACCACTTCACTGCATTCTGCCATAACTTCCCCTCTTGTATGCTCTTTGCGTACATAGAGAGCTTAGATGCAGTGGCACTGGAGTGGGTTAGTTGGTGAGCAGAGCAACAAGGTAGACAGGTAGACAGTGTGCGGGGCAGCTAAAAAAACTTGCAAGGCTGGCAGCCTGGCACAAGCCAAACAGTGTCAAGTCATCTTTGGGCGCTCGAAAAAAAAAACTCCCTACACGAGTCTACAGATCAGTGCATCAGTGTTACAGTCAGCATCAGTGCAAGAGTAGAAAACAAATAATGTCAAATTTGTGTATTGCTACCACTGAGCAGTAATATTACCACATCCCATCTACCAAAACCAGATGCCAAATATTCCATGTACCACCACAATCAGATCGGATCCCCGATTCGTGCCAAGTTGCCAACCCAACCAGATAAGCTGGTAACAGATAGGTGTTGCCCATAGTGCATAAAACCTTACTCCGCACCCACCCATCCTACACCCACACCCACTCGCCCACCACAAAGCAGTCTCTCACCAAATACCCCAACATGTCACGCACCCACGCCAAGAAATGATCACGCAAAGACCCTTTAGTCCCTCTCACCCTATGCACGAGAACCATCTGAGGACAGTCTGTCAGTAGCAACCCCTGATTCCATTGCCCAACTACCCTATTCCTCCCCACCCCAAGCCCCTTCGGCCCATGCCTAATCCATCTCTCACTTGCAGCAGCAACCCTCCCATTTGATCGCCTAACCAGCCATGACTCTTCCTTTAGCCGAAGGAAAGAAAACTCTCACCAGCAGCAGCCTGCCTAGCAACGCTCAACGGCTTGGCACACCACTCGTCCGCCTATCTGATAGCCTAACAGCTCACCCCCACGTTTGAGCCTGGCAAGGACCATCTTTTACTTACCAGCTGCAGCAGCCCTCCTACTGGACCGCCTGACCACTCCGCCTGCTCCCTCTGAATCCCTACTCCCTCCCCCGCTGCCACTCAACCCTGCACCCCCCCGGCCTCCTCTCTTCATAGGACTAGCCCCTGTCCCCCCTCTACCTCCTCGCTTTACAGGACTCGCCCCTCCCCTCCCCCTGCCTCCTCTCTTAACGGGACTTGCCACCGTGCCCCCTCTACCTCCTCTCTTCACAGGACTCACTCCCCCTCTTGCCCCCCTCCCTCCACGCACTGTACGGCTTTCACCGCTCTCAACCGCGCTCGCTCTCGCGCCTCGGCCTCTACCCCTTCTCTCCCTTCCTCCCTGCTCCGCTTTCTTCTCTTCCTCTTCCACCTCCACCTCCTCCTCTTCCTCCTCACTTTCAAGATCAACCACCTTCTCCTCTTCCTCCTCCTCTTCTGATGCAAGATCAACCATCTCTCCCATCGCCCTCACCTCCTCCACCCACTCATCCTCCTCCTCTTCCTCCTCTTCCTCCTCTCCCCCCTCCATCTCCACTACCGTTCTCCCCTTCCCTCCACGCCCCCGCCCACGCACTTTCCCCCGCGCCCCTCTCCCCCGTCCCCCTCCTCTCGCCACTATCACATCAATCTTCCTCCTTCCTCCTCCACCCCTGCCAGGCGACAGCATCCCTCCTCCACGTGCCGCTATCACATCACTCATCCTCCTTCCCGCGCTCCTTCCAGGTGTCTGCCTGAGCCCACCCCCCGGGGTACCCACCACGAACCCCACGTGCCGATCACCGGTCCCTCCCTTCCTCCCCCCTCTCAGGGCACTCACAAGACTGCCCCTCCCGCTTCCTCTGCCCCTCCCGCTTCCTCTGCCCCTGCCTCTTGCACCCGCCCTCCCACCCCCTGAAGCAACACCAGCAACGGCTTCTTCAGACGATGCAGCAGCAGCAGCATCATCACTGGCAGCAGCAGTGGCAGCAGCAGGGGTAGCAGGGGTGGCAGCAGGAGGAGTAGAAGCTGCAGTAGCTCTCTTCGCCCGGGTCTTTCTTGAAGCACTAGCAGCACCACCAGCAGCAGCAGGAGCGCGGGCAGGGGTCACAACCAGCTCAACCACTCCATCCTCCTCATCCTCCGCCTCCTTTTGCTTCTCATCTGCTGTTGCTGCTGCTGACCCTGCGGCACGTGCAGTGACAGCATTCAGAGACGCAAATGTGGGTGCTGCTGCACCCCGTCGTCTTGTCTGCCGCGCTCCTCCCACACTGCTTGGACCCGCATCCGCCTCAGCCACATACACCTTCCCCGCATCTGCCTTCCCTGCTCCTCCCCATCGAGCACCAGATTCCGTTCCTGCAGGTTCTGCAGCGGCTCTCCTTGCCCGCCCCACCGCCCTGCCTCGCGTGCTCCTGGTGCTGACCACTTCCACCACCTCCATTTCTTCATCAGCAGCGGCAGCAGGAGCAGCAGGGGCAGCAAGGGAAGCACGGGCAGCAGGAGCAGCAGGGGCAGCAGGGGAAGCACGGGCAGCACGGGAAGCAGGGGAAACACGGGCAGCACGGGCAGCAGGGGCAGCACGGGCAGCAGGGGAAGCACGGGCAGCAGGGGAAGCACGGGCAGCACGGGCAGCAGTGGCGGCAGGAGCAGAACCAGCAGCAGAAGGGGCAGCGGCAGCTGCAGCAGGGGCTGGGCTGGTGCCAACACCAGACCCACCCCGACGCCTTCTCTTGCCCACCCCACTCTCTTCGTCCTCTCCCCTACTCGCTTCCGCAGCCTCCCCTGTCTCTCCAGCACCCCTTTTCCTGCTCCTCCTCACTCCTCCTGCTGCTTCCATGTTACTCTCTTCTGCTACTGCTGCTGCTGCTGCTGCTGCTGCACCTCGTGCTTCCCTAGTCCCCGCAACTCGCACACCCCTCCCTCCTCGCCCTCTCCTTCCTCGTCCTCCCCTTCCACCCCCGCGCCCACCAGAAACTCCTGCTTCCACTTCCCCCACCTTTTCAACCCCCTCCCCATCTTTCCCTGCCTCAGCTGCTCCCATCTCTCCCACCACTTGCACCTCCTCCTCCTCTTCCTCTTCCGACATCACTTCTGCTGCCGCAGCTGCTGCTGCTGCTGATGATGACTCAGTTGTTTCCTTTGCTCCTTGTGCCCTGACCCCTGCCCCTCTCCCTCCTCGTCCTCCTCTTACTCGTCCTCCCCTTCCTCGTCTGCCCCTTCCACCCCCGCGCCCACCAGAAACTCCTGCTTCTACTTCCCCCACTTCTTTCACCCCCTCCCCATCTTTCCCTGCCTCAACTGCTCGCTCATCCCCCACCACTTGCACTTCTTCCTCCTCTTCCTCCTCCTCCAAAGCAGTCACTTCTGCTGCCGCAGTTGCTGCTGCTGCTGCTGCTGCTGCTGCTGCTGCTGCTGCTGCTGCAGCTGGCTCACTTGTTTTCCTTGCTCCTCGAGCCATAATCCCTGCCCCTCTCCCCACTCGCAATCTCCCCCCTCGCAATCTCCTCCCTCCTCCCCTTCCACGCCCACGCCCACCAGAAACCCCAGCTTCCAAGTTGCCCACTTCTTCAACCCCCTCCACAGCTCTTCCAACTGCTCCCTCCTCTCCCTCCTCTTTCTCCTCTCCCTCCTCTCCCAACACTTGCACCTCTTCCTCCTCTTCCTCCTCGTCCGCCACAGTTGCTGCTGCAGCTGGCTCAGTTGCTTTCTTTGCTCCTCGTGCCCTCATCCCTGCCCCTCTCCCCCCGCGCCCTCTCCTTCCTCTTCCTCCCCTCCCACCACCAGACGCAGGAGACACCACTGCCTCCACTCCCACTCCCACTTCCCTTTCCTCTTCTTCCTCCTCTTCCACCACCACCGGCACCTGTGCTGCTGCTTCCGCAGCAGCAGCAGCTGCTGTTTCCGTTGCACCTCGGGCTCTCCCAGTCCCTCTCCCCCCGCGCCCTCTCCTTCCTCTTCCGCCCCTCCCACCACCAGGCGCAGGAGTCCCCACTGCTTCCACTCGCACTTCCACTTCCTCTTCTTGCACATCTCCCTCCCTTGCCACTCCCTCCAAAGCCTTTCTTCCCCTTCCTCCCCTTCTCCCTCTTCCTCCCCTTCCACCACTGCGCCCACCAGACCCCCCTCCCTCCACTTCCACTGCCCCTTCTCGCACATCTCCCTCCCCTGCCACTCCCTGGAGAACCCTCCTTCCTCGCACTGGTTGCACCTCACTCACCAGTACCACTGCCTCCTCCTCTTCCTCCTCCTCTTCCTCCTCTTCCTCCTCCTCTTCCTCTTCCTCCTCTTCCACTACCATCACTTGGCCTGTTTCTGCTGCCCTTCGGCTTGCCCTTGTCGCTCTGGTTGCTGTTGCTGCTGCTGCTACAGCTGGAGCAGTAGGTGCTGCCTTCCTCCCCCTCCTGGTTCGACCCACACTTTCCGTCTCCCCCACGCTTGCACCAGCAGCACCAGGAGTCCCGGCAGCAGCAGGAGAGCCACGAGCAACAAGAGCAGCAACAGCAGCTACACGAGTCACCCTGCGCCTCTTCCCTTGAGGTTGCTCCTTCACATCTCCCCGCTTTCCTGCTCCGCCTCTTCCCCCTTCAGTCCCCTTTTCCTCCTCTGCCTCCTCCTCCCTCTCCATTGCTCTGCGCTTTGACCTCAGGGGCCTTTCCTCTGGAATTCCCGAGGAACCAGCAGGGCTGGAAGCAGCAACAGCAGGGCCCGCAGCAGGTTCACGTGAGCCTCTGGTCTTCCTCCCCTTGCTTTGTGCTTTCTCAGGTGTTTTCTCAGGTGATTTGGAAGGGGCATCCGCAGGCGATGCAGACGTGGACGCACTGGTTGGTTTGGGGGCGAACCTGCTCGCTCTTCGGTAAGGTGACTTGGCAGGGGATTGGGCTGGTGAATAGGCAGGTGAATTGGCAGGGGACTTGGCAGGTGAATTTGGAGAGGACTTGGCAGGTGATTTAGCAGGGGTCGCGGCAGGTGATTTGGCAGGGGTCGCGGCAGGAGATTTGGCAGGGGTCGTAGCAGGTGCTCTGACAGGCGATTCTGCCGCTGCTACCACTGCAGCAGACCCTCTCCCTCCTGCCCCTGCACTGGAGCGCCTGGGAGTGACTGACGACTTTTGAGGCACCTCAGGTGTTGCCTGCGTGGGAGTGACTGAGAGCCTATCACTCACTCGTGTACGGCGGGTCAAGGGAGTGGAGGCAGCAGGAGAGGCGAGAGCAGGTGGAGGGGAAGGAGCAGTAGGAAGAGCGGGAGGAGGCGGCAGAGAGGAGGCAGGGGAGAGGCGCTTCGATTCCACTGACAGCCGCCTGGTTAGCACTCGGGGCCTTGCCACTGCTGTGAGCGCGTGGCGGGAGGACAGGCGGACCGGAACCCTGCCTCGGGAAAGAGGGGTCTGAGAGAGCGAGAGAGGGACAGGGACAAAAGGATGGGAGGGGAAGAGGACATGAGTTACGGGAGTGGAAGTAGGATACGGTATTCTTGTTCAGTAGCTTTCACCTTCACAGCGAAACGCAGATATATCAGTCAATGAGTTTCGCCTTCACAGAACGATGCAGTCTTCTCAATCACTCACTTTTACTCTCCCTGGCGTTGCTGCTGTAGCTGCCTTAGCTGCCCCTCCTGCTCTTCCTGGTGTCGCTGCTCTGCCTGGTGTCCTTGTCTTGCCCAGTGTCCCTGCTTTGCCCGGTGTTGCTGCTTCACCCTGTGCTCTCTGCCCCCCCAGCAAAAGCCTCACTGGTGTCACCCCCACGCCCTCAGACACACGCCTCGAAAAACTCTTGCTCTTCCTCTTCCCCACTCCTGTTGCCGCCCGCCCCACTCCCCCTGCCGCCCGCCCCATAACCCCGACACCCCCTGCCGCCCCTCTGCCGCCCCGTCTTACCGGCGTCACCCACTTCACCGCCCCTGCTCTCCTCCCTGCTCCTGCCGCCCGCCTGCCCGTCCCTATCATGGCATCCCAAGCACCCCCGATAGCAGCCTTGGCAGCATCTGCCTTTGCAGTGCTGCGACCCACACTGCTACTACCCACGGACTGACTCCCAAGGGACCGTCTCTTAGCAGCACTGCCCCCCTCTGCTGCTGCCTCGGCCTGTCTCTTGCTAGGCGTCACCTTACCAGAACTGAGCCGTGGGCTCTTGGCAGGGCTCGTTTCAGGGATCTTAGCAGCGCTCCTGAGAGGGGTCCTAGCAGGGCTCTTAGCAGCACTGCCCCCCTCTGCAGCTGCCTCGGCCTGTCTCTTTCTGGGCGTCTCCTTGCCAGAACTGAGCCGTGGGCTCTTGGCAGGGCTCGTTTCAGGGATCTTAGCAGCGCTCCTGAGAGGCGTCCTAGCAGGGCTTTTGGCAGGACTCTTAGCAGGGCTCTTCATAGGGGTCTTGACAGGGGTCTTAACAAGGAACTTAGCAGGGCACTTAGCAGGGCTCTTAGCAGGGCGCTTCAGAGGGATCTCGGCAGGGCTCTTAGCAGGAGACTTAGCAGCACTCGTGGCAGGGCTCTTGCGTGGGGTTCTTGCAGGGCTCTTGGCAGGGGACATAAGAGGAGTCTTGGCTGGGCTCTTAGCGGCGCCCCTGGCAGCCCTGGTAGGAGGCGTACTGGCAGCAACCTTGGTAGGGGTTCTGGCGGGGCTCTTAGCAGGGAACTTAGCAGGGCTCTTAGCAGGGAACTTAGCAGGGCTCTTAGCAGGGAACTTAGCAGGGCTCTTAGCAGGGAACTTAGCAGGGCTCTTAGCAGGGCTCTTAGCAGGGGACTTAGCAGGGCTCTTGACACCACTCCTAGGAGGGGTCTTGGCAGGGCTCTTAGCATCGCTCTTAGAAGGGGTCTTAGCAGGGCTCCTCACAAGCCCTTCAATGGGGCTTGTGGCAGCGCTTCGAGCAGCAGCAGGGCTCTTAGCTTCGGGCGTCACGACCTTCCTGCCGCCACGAGCAGGGCTCTTGGTTACACGTGTTCTGGTTACCGCAGCCGTGGTAACCGGAGTCTTGACTCGGCGGATCTTGGCTTTCGGGCCAGCAGTGGCAGCTCTCCGCCTTGACGCCGCCACTGGCGTTGCTGCCGCTGGCTTTGCTGTTGCTGCCACTGGCGTTGCTGCTGCTGCTGGTGTTGCCTCTGCTGGCGTGGCTGCTGGCGGTATTGCTGACAGTGGTGTTGCTGACGGCGCCCCAGAGAAGGGCGATGCAGCTGATAGAAAACCAGCTGGCGTAACTGGCGAGCCAGGTGTGATCAGCCCACCAGACGCGGTTACCCCACCAGGTGTGGTTGGCGTGCCAGGCAAAACACCATCACCCACTGCACCTACGATCTCAGCCCCTTCTCCAACCTCTGCTGCCACCATGCAAACACCGCCCGCTGCCGACCCCTGCTCCGCCTTTTCTGTCTGCTCCTGCCCTTCCGCCTTCCCCTTACGCGCCACCTCCGCCCCTCCTTCCACTCCCACTCCCCCTCCCGCTGCCGCATCTCCCCCTCCTGCACCCCCGTCTCCCCCATCCATCCCCGCCATGCCTTCAACGAACACCGGCTCCTCTGCCTCACTATAGAACGCCTCGCGCTTCTGCTGCGGCCTGGGAAAAGGCGCACAAGAAATACATATATATATATATATATACATACATACATATTTATATATATATCACTTAAACGTAACAGTAAACACACAGGCTCCTCCGCCTCACTGAAGAATGCCTTGCGCTTCTGCTGCGGCCTGCCTGAGAGGCATGCTTCAGAGAGGTGCACAGGGAAAAATCGTTTGAAACGACTCAAGAGTATACACGTGCTAGAGCCCAACACCACAACACCGTGGAACGACCAATGCTTTCCAGTCTCACATCCCACCCCATCCCGTCCCCTGATGGCATTCCACCACACCCTTTCCATCCCCTGTCACACCATCTCACAAGGCATCGACTTCCGCAGCAGCAGCCTCTTCCTCCTCACGCCCCACCAGGAGCACCACCACATCCCACCACATCCCACCACACTCACCACATCCCAGCACATCCCATTAATCACATCCCATTCCATTCCTCATCCCATCCCCGCGCAAACCATCTTACCAGGCTTCAACTTCCGAAGAAGCTGCCTCCTCCTCCTCCTATTGCCCCAGCAGCAGCGCCACCACCTCCCACAACTCTCATCAATCAAAACCCATCCCATCCCTCATTCCATCCCATCCTCTATTTCAAAAGCTCACCAGGCATCAACTTCCGCAGCAGCCGCCTTCTCCTCCTCTTGCCCCAGCAGCAGCGCCACCACCTCTCCCTCCTCCAAATCCTCCAAGTCCCCATCCTCGTACCGAACCTTGTACCACCCCTCCTCCCGGTCGTACTTAAACACCCGACCCAGAAACACCACGTCGCCGAACCTCTTCCGAACCAGTTTGCCCAGGTATGGCGCGGCAGTAGGAGGGAGAGGGGAGGGAGCAGGCAATGGGGTTGGGAGGGAAGCATCGTTACAAGGGCTTGCAGCAGCAGGGGTGTGAAAAAGAGAAGGTGGAAGAAGAGGACTGGGAGCATCAGGAGTAGGAGCAGGAGCAGAAGGGGTGGGAGTGGGATTGGCAGGAAGCGGCGAGGATAAGGGAGTGGTGACGCCGTCCGCTGCAGGAGCAGGGGTGCCGGAGGGGATTGCAGAGGCGCCGGAGGGAGTGGCAGCAGGAGTAGCGGAGGGGGTGGCTGCGGGAGGGGTGGGAATGGGAGTGGCAGGAAGCGGCGAGGCCAAGGGGGTGGTGACGCTTTCCGCAGCAGGTGCAGGAGTGCCAGAGGGGATTGCAGGGGTGCCAGAGGGAGTGGCAGCAGGAGTGGCGGCGGGAGTGGCTGCGGGAGTGGCGGCTGGAGTGGCAGCAGGAGTGGCGGAGGGAGTGGCAGCAGGAAGGGTGGAAGAGGGAGCAGCAGAAAGCGGCGAGGCTAAGGGAGTGGTGACGCTGTCCGCTGCAGGTGCAGGAGAGGCGAAGAGGATTGCAGGAGTGGCGGCAGGAGTGGCGGAGGGGGTAGCGGCAGGAGTGGCGGAGGGGGTGGCGGCAGGAGTGGCGGAGGGGGTAGCGGCAGGGGTGGCAGAGAGGGTGGCCGCAGGAGTGGCGGTGGCTGTTGTGTTCGGGGTGTCAACAGGAGTGCTGACGGCCGTAGCAGGAGTGCTGACGGCTGTAGCAGGGGTGCTGACGGCTGTAGCAGGAGTGCTGACGGCTGTAGCAGGAGTGCTGACGGCTGTAGCAGGGGTGCTGACGGCTGTAGCAGGAGTGCTGACGGCTGTAGCAGGGGTGCTGACGGCTGTAGCAGGAGTGCTGACGGCTGTCGAAGGTGTGCTGACGCCCGTCGCAGGAGTTTCGAAGTCTAAATCATCAAACGTTAGAGCATCCGGAGCACTAGGCGTAAAAGCAGCAGCGTCAGCGTCAGCCCCAGCAGGCGACCCGGGCGAGACGCGAGTGGCAGAGGGCGAGCGAACATCAGGCGGAGTGGGAAGCGGCGTGCTCGGAAGGTTATTGTTTCGATTACCAGCATCACTGACACCGCATTTACCATCACCAGCGGCGGCACCATCTCCATTGCCGACAGTCCCCCCATCTGCCTGTGCGGAGCCCTGACCTTCTGGGGAAGCTTGATCCGCCTCGGTTTCTTCTTCTGCTGTAGTTTCCTGCCGCTCCGCTCCCCCGCTCTCCTCGTCTTTGACCGATGCCCCCGCTTCTGCGCCAACCCTCCCGTCGCCTTCTCCCTGCCCTTGCGCCTCGCCTGGCGTCGTTCCAGCCTCTCCCCCACTCCCCTCCACCACCATTTCCGGTTCTGCCTCTTCCCGTGCCGCGCCTTGAGCTGACCGTGCCTCTTCCCGTGCCGTGTCGGGAGCCGACTGTGCTGCTTCTTCTCGTGCCGTTCCGCTGGCCCGCTGTGAAGCGCCGCCTGCTTCTTCCTCCTCTTTGGCTTCTCCATTATTCCTAAGTCCAGCTACAGGGAGTTTGTTCTCAGCGGCTGTCGCGATCCCCGTTATAGTATTATCATGTAAAACCCGCTGGCCAGAAGCTCGTACAGTGTTAATCGGCGATTCAGCTGTCATATGGAGATCAGCGGGAGTGGTTGCAGGAACAGAATCGCCAGCCGCGTCAGTCACGTCAGCGTCAGCAGCATCAGCGTCAGCTTCACCATCGGATATGTCCCAGGGGTTACCTTGGTCAGCGGCATCACCGTCAGTACCTTTAGTCGAAGCATTAATATCACCCACAGCGTCGCCATTGGCTGTAACTAGTGGAGGATTGGTCCACGTGGCGCCACCTCCTAGCACGTCGTCAGGAAGAGTGGGAGTGCCGAACACGTCATCTGTTGGTAACTCAGTACCCTGGATACCGCCGGAAAGACCGCCGGGTACTATTTCCGGGAAATCAGCTGCTTTCGAGAACGAGTCTAGGCTTTGAAAATAGGGGTCCTGCTCGCCTGTGCCTTCGGGATTTTCAGACCCGCCTTCCATTATGATTCCTGCTTCGCAAATAAGAAACTCGAGTGCAGTAGTGTCACTTGATATTTCGGACTAATCTTAGGATTTCAATAAAACTGATTGCTGCCGTGCGATCAAGTAACGCACGAAGAGCGCACGAAAGAACGATCGGAGAAAGTAGAGTCGTTAGGAGAAGCAAGCGAGTCCTATCAATGTCGTATGCTGGGAAATTAATTCTAGAAAATGGCTTCTCAGCAGCAAGAAGCCTCTCTTGGGGGAGCAGCTAGTGAGCAAGCTGGTTCGCCGAGGGTATTGATGGTCTCGTTTAGCATGCAGCAAGGGCGATAAACAGCTTGACCAAGGCTATGACATCGAAGGGCTTTCCGTAGTTCGCGTCCTTATCGAACGGACACAAGGAAGCATTTGTTGCTGCAGAACGAACGTAATGCCGAGCCTCCGAGGGAAACCAGATCTGTCAGGCTTCGAAAGAGCTCTGGTTCGAGGAAAAAACAATTCGCTATTAAATGCTTCGACACTATTAAATCTAATAAGCACCATCGCACACACACTAGCTGGAAAATACACATTCAGTTCATGTTCCCCCTCCCAGTTGTTTCACAGCTAAGACCTATCCCGAACAAGAGTAGCCCTCGCCCACCCTGCAGGGACTTGCGTCTCGGCATCCAACGAAATCTTCAAGTCGTGCTTCCTTGGATAGCTGCTGTCGTGTCACCGCTGCCTGCCACGGATGCATCTCGCGAGGGTGCTCTCCGCCACGTGTCGCAATGCGGTGAAGCAGCGCGGCGCCGTGGCGGTAGGACCGTCGCTGCCCGCACTGCAGCAGCAGCGGCGGCACCAGAGCGGGCAGCAGAGCGGGCAGCTGAGCGGGCAGCAGAGCGGCCTCGCGGATTTCTTCGAACAGGGTCGCACGCCCGACGCGCCCGTCACCACCGGTAGGGCTCACCGCCGTTAGGGATCACCATCGGCAGAACTTACTTCACGGCTCGCAGGGCCTACTACTTGTCCGTCTGTGTTTCAACGATCCGTAGGATCTGAGGTCTGTGCGACTGACGCGATGCGTGCGGCGTGCGACAAAAGTTAAGATTCCAATTGCTCGTCCGTACACCACACCTGCTTTCGCCCCACCACGCCTCCCGGTCCCCCTCCGTTTCCTGACACACAGCCCGAGAATGGCAGGCGTAGGAGCTGGGGCACGAGTCGTGCGTACACGACCTGCTTTCACCCCACTCCACCGTCCCATACCCCTTTCCCGCCTCCTCAACCCCCACAGGGCGGGGATGGCAGGCGTGGGAGCTGCGGCACAAGTCGTTCGAGGATCTACACGGGCTGTGGTACGTGCTGCTCAAGGAGAAGAACCTGCTCTACTCTCAGAAGCAGATGCTGCAGTCACAGGGCCGCCGCATGGTGCAACCTCACCGCATCCACCTCGTGAGTTCGCCCCTTCTCTTCTCTCCCCCACCCCCCTCCCCCCTTCCCTTGCCGCTTCCACCGCATTCGCCTCGTGAGTCCCGTTGCTCTCTTTTTCCGTCCGTCCTTGCCCACCTAGAAGTGGTCTCTCAAACGCCCTTGCAGGGCCGCTGCATGGTGCAGCCCCACCGCATCCCCCTGTCGAGTTTTCCCTGCTCCCCTCGCCCTTGCCTGCTGCCCCTTCCCTGATTGTATCCTTTTCCTGCTCGCCCTGTCCTCAGCCCCCTCCTTCGCTATATCCCGTCTTGTCCTCTAACCGCCCGTCCTTCTCTTCCTCCTTTCCCCTCTCCCCTCTCCTCTCCCTCTCTCCTTTTTTCTCCCTACGCTTCTTCTTCCCCCCCACGCCCCCCTTGAAGGCCCCTTGCGTCCCGCGCTCCTGGTTGTGTTGTCTTTAAATATTCACGCTCGTGGTGTTTAGACCTTAGAAGGTTCCCTCATCCACTTAAATTCGCCGTCCCCATTTTGTGTGTGCTGTGCACATGTGCTCATGCATTTATTCTCCATGTGACAGGTGAAGGCATCAATGTGTAGAATAAAGCAAGTTCTGACCGAGAGAGCACTCGCTGTAGAGGATTCCGATAAGAGATGGTTTTATAAGAAGATTATTAATGACATGTAGGCTGCTGTTGTAAGTAAACTAGCACACCACCCTGTCATGATTTTTGTAGCTTACTCTGAAACTCGCATATATAATAAGGCCTGAAAAACTTGATTCAACAATAACGAATTGCGGGTTTCTCGTCAAATAGGGAATTCTCGTCCACCTTTTCACCCAGCAGCACCATTCATTCAAGTCATTCTCGCTGCATTCCACTTCGATCGCGCCCATCTCCAGTGAATTCCAACACAACGAGCGGTCAGGATTCCAGTTTCGTAGATCCCCCCGAATTCCAGATGGAAACGTATTGTGATCGGTGAACTCGCTAGAATTGTGCTTCGACGCAGATCTCACGGCTCGCAGCAACGGCGATCGCGCTTCTCCCCGCGTCCCTCGCTGCTAAACTGCCCGCTTCCTTTCTCTCTCCTCCACCCCCGCTTTCCACCCTTATCCTGCTGATCAGCAGTACGAATCCACGCAGCGCAATCAGCGCGCCTCCTGTTTCCGAGGATCTTTCGGTTCGATCGTAAACAGCCGTCCTAGGCGCGCGCGACGAAGCACAACAACGGACGACAATTCAGGCGATTCGTCGGACCCTATCATCACAGCCGTCGGCTTGACGCTCCTTCGTTGCTGCAATCGACTAGCCGATTCCAACCCCCCACGCGCCATCCCCCCCTTCCCCGCGCCGTCTCCCCGTTACCCCGCTTTGCCGTTCCACTGCTCCTCCCAGTCCACCCGCTCTGCCCCCCTCCGCCCCTCCGCCTCTTCCCCCCACCCCTTCGTCCGCTCACGGGTGGAGCGCGCGATGGCGGCGCAGCGGGCGCCGCCGAGCTTCCGCCTGCGCGCTTACTACGGGATCGACTTCCCGGGGAAGGTGGCGCTGCTGGTGGCGCAGTCTCTGCTCTCCTTCGCGCTCTCCGCCACCCTTTTCGGTCGCTACGCTGCTGCCGTCAACCTCGTTCGGCGGTTCTGGCCTCTACTGCCGGCGCAGGTACGGTGCAGTACGGTACGGTATGGTCTGAGGCACTGTACTGCGGGAAGGTGGCGGTGCTGGTGGCGCAGTCGCTGCTCTCCTTCGCGCTCGCCGCCACCCTCTTTGGGCGCTACGCTGCTGCTGTGACGCTCGTTCGCCGCTTCTGGCCGCTGCTGCCGGCGCAGGTATGCACGCACTGGTGTTTCGCGGTGAGAATGAGTCATGTTGGTGGGGCACTGGGATCGTCCCGAGTTGAGTGTGGGAGGGCTACAGGCGCGGCCTGGGGGGTTATGGGTGTGCTACCCACCATACAAACATGCCCTTTTAACCCAATCGGTAGCAGGCTGGGCCAACAAGTGGTATCAGAGGGAGAGGTCTCCGGTTCGAATCCCAGTGTGCGCCAAGCGAGCGCCAGTGCCCAAACGAGCCCCAAGTGAGGGGGAGACGACCCTAGTGAGGGGGAGACGACCCCAGTGAGGGGGAGATTGTTGGTGGGGCACTGGGATCGTCCCGAGTTGAGTGTGGGAGGGCTACAGGCGCGGCCTGGGGGGTTATGGGTGTGCTACCCACCATACAAACATGCCCTTTTAACCCAGTCGGTAGCAGGCTGGGCCAACAAGTCAGTCAGTCAATCAGTCAGTCAATCAGTCAACCACTCAGTCAGCCACTCGGTCAGGCCGTTGATTCCTCCGCTCTCCCCGCCACCTCCCTCCTTCGCCCCTCCCCCCATCCGCAGCTAGCCAGTTTCCTCGTGGGGTTCTCAGCAGCCTTGGCTCTCCTCCTCGCCTTCGCCTATTCCCTCACGCTCTCAGCCAACCTCCGCACCTCCCTCCTCCTCCGCCCCCGCATCGCCCGCCACATGCTCGCGCTCGTGCCCGCCTGGCAACCGGTCCGCACCGCTCTGGACCTAGGGAGCGGCCGCGGCGTGCTGCTAGCAAGCCTGGGGCTGCAACTACAGGAGTGTGGTGGGGAGGGGCGGGCGATCGGGTTTGATAGCTGGGAGACCAAGAGCCGTGCTGCTGGTACCACTACTGCGGTTAACAGCAGCAGCAGATTGGAAATTGAACGGGAAAGGAGTTTGCTGGCTGCAACTACTGCTGCTTCTGATGCTGCTGACGGTACTGCTGGTGGTGGCGATGGTGCTAATGCTGCTAATGCTGCCACTGGCAGCAGCAGCAGTGGAAGGCACGTGCGGCACAGAAGGGCAGATAAAGCCAAAGCAGGCCACCCAAGCAAGAGTGCGGTCAAACCACCCGTTACCCCTGCCACTCCTGCCAGCGGGCTAGCAGCCGTGTCAGCGCCCGCAGTGGGGAGCATGGCGGGGGCGCTGAGAGCAGCAGCGAGGGAGGGCGTGGGGGCGCTGGTGACGTGCAAGACGGGCGCATTTGACCGCCTGCCCTTCCCTGACAGCTACTTTGATGTCGTTGTCTCTGCTCTCCGCCTGCACGCCATTGCTTCGGTACGTGCCAGCCATGTGCCACGTTCGTACCTGATGTGCCAACACCCCGGGCACCTTTGACCACCTTCCCCTTCCCTGACGCTTACTTTGATGTTGTTGTCTCTGCTCTTCGCCTGCACGCCATCACTTCAGTACGGCCCTCCATGCCATTGCTTCAGTAGTTTCACGGCATGCCTCATGTACAATTGTCCCGGGTGCCTTTGACCTCCTTCTCTTCCCTGCACATGGTGCTTTGGGGGCAGAGGGAGAGTGGCAGGGGGTGCTGCAGCAGGTGGCAGGACTGCTGAAACCGTGGTGGGGAAAGGGTGGTGCTGTGGGCTTCTCACTCCCTAACTCCCTCTTCTCCTTCTGCGCCCCCATCCACATGGCAGGTCCTAGAAGACTCAGACCCACAAGCAGCGGAGAAGGAGAGGCAGCGGGTGCTGCAGGAGGTGGCGAGAGTGTTGAAACCGGGGGGGAGGGTGATAGTGTGGGACGTGTTGCACGTGCCGGCCTATGCAGAGTATTTCAGGTTGCTGGGATGGAAACATGTGGTTGTTACCCCCGGCCCGAATGCTTTCATGCTGCCCTCGCATGTCCTTTCTGCCCGGAAACCAAAGTGACCAAGCGGAAATTTCTTCAGGTGTAAGGCGCTGTTGTAATGCTTGTGCTGCTGCGGCTGCAGTGGCACTTCAACCAGTCTTGAGAAAGAGGTTTCAGAGAAGGAGGGCTAGTCTTGCACCGGAGAGGTGATGCCAGCAATGTCGCATTGTTACAAGCAACGGTGTGCAGTGAGGATGGCAAAGCAGAGAGCAGCATTCAGTCAAGTCACCATCACATCACATCACACCGTTCAGACATGGTAAATAACTTAATAAAGGTGGGTCATCGAAATACTCGTTGTAAGCAGGCTCAGAGATCAGCTGTGGGAACTAGGCACAGAAAATCTAGGAAGAAGAGAGCAAGCTACGATGCAGGGCATGCCGGGTGAGAGGCGGCCGAACAGCAAGCAGCATGAGTGGGAGCGAGGGAGAGAGGGCAGTCAGAATTGTAAGCAGATGAACCTTCGAGTCGAGATGAGACGTCTCAAAAGGCAAATGTTGCTGCTGAGTTCATGCCTCGGCAAGAAGCCTCTGTCTGCATGGTCAGGAAATGCCTAGTGCGGAACCAAGATCAGCCACCCAAGACGAACCACCACCCTGTGCCACGCGTACATAATGCTCCGTGTCTCAAGTAGCAGCATCCAAAACCTCAGTTCCTCCAGTGTCCTGAGCTGCAGTTCAGCCTGCCGGTGACCGCATGCAGCTTATTGCAATGGGGTCAGCAGAAACGGCTTGTGCCACACCACGACCAGCTCAGCGACACGTCACCACCACGTCACCGCGCCCTCACCACCGCCTCACCATAGCCTCACCACTGCCTGCCTCGGCATACCCTGCCTCACATGGGTCTACCCAGCTGAATGAGCTAATGTTTTCTACTCATACGACAGGCTGAACCAGCTCTCCTCCCTCTCACCACCCTCTCGTGAGCCAACTAAAAAATCCTCCCACTCCCCAACCCCTCATGAGCAGACTAGAAATTGATCCCTCTTACCACCCCCTTTTTGAGACGCCTTAAAATCCTCGCACTCACCACCCCCCCGTGTAAGGCCTCAAAACTCAGCAGGGCCTACCCAACCAAATCAGCCACTTCTGGTTTTTGAGAATTCTAAAAAACCAGCTCGTATCATATGCATGCGACAGGCTGGCCAGCTCTCCTCCTTTTTGAGCCTCAAGTGGACTTATTGCTTCTCCCTCACATCATCCCCCGTATGGAACACCTCCGAACTCAGCAGGGCCTGCCCAACCGAGTGAGCCACTTGCGATACGCATAAGACAGGTTGAACCAACTCTCCTCCCTCTCAACAACCCCTGCTGCACTCCCCCCTCCTCTTCCCCCTCCGCTTCCCCCTTCCGCCCCTCCCACTTCTGGAATCGCGAGCTCCGGGAGCGCAGGGCGGGAGGAGAAGAGAGAGGCGCGGGCGGCAGCAGCAGCGGCGGCAATAGGCGACGGCAGGGGCGGGAGGGCGTGGGGAGAAGGGCCGGCGTGTTTTGTCCAGAAGGCGATTTGATACCAGAGGGTGTAGGTGTTGAGTTGCTCGTGGGCGGGCAGGGTGAGAACAAGTTCATTGAATCCGGACACTAGCGCTGTTCGCTCCTCTGGGGTTAGGTCGAAACCTAACAGCTGGTACCGCACCTGCTGCTGCCCCTGCTGCCCCTGCTGCTGCTGCTGCTGGTGTTGGGATTTGGCGTTGGGTGTGCTGGTGGATGGAGGTTGAGCAAGGGCGGCAGACGCAGGTTCTCTGCTGCTGCTGCTCCCGTTGCTGTTGTGTCTCCCGCTGCTGCCACTGCGACTGCTAACAGAGGAGCAGATTTCCAGCAGCACGGGCAGCCACAGCCGCACAAACGACACGCGCAGCTGCGGATTCGCTACAAGCCGCTTCGATAGCATCGCACTCATGGTCCCCACGAGGGCTGACTTTACCACGTACAGTGCCCCAGGCGGCACCACCCCCGCTGATGCTGCTGCCGCCCCCACCCCTCCCCCTCCGCTCCCCCCTCCGCTTCCCCCTCCGCCTCCCCCTCCGCTTCCCCCTGCTTGCCCTTTCCCCGGAGTCCCAACACTGTCTAGCCCGCCATCCTCCCCCTCCCCCGCCCCGCCCTCCGCGCCCCCCTCATCCTCGTTAACAGTCTCCAGCCCCTGCGTCGAGAAACTGAAGCTCTTAGCGAATCCCGGACCTACCGCCTGGGCTGCCGGCAGGCCCTCCGCATCAGCAGGCTCGGCCCGAGCCTGCCGCTGCGTCAGGGAGCAGCTCTGCCGAACCTGCGAGACGAACTCGTTATCAGTCGCAAGCCATTTAAAGACCTCGTCCGCCATAGAGAATTCCAGCATCAGCCCCACGAGCCACGTCAGCGCGCCTTGCGCCCCGTATACCATCTCCAGCATCCCCTCGTCATCACCGCTCAATCCCCCCGCGCCTCCTCCTGCCGGCTCCTCCCCCCGCGGGCGCGGGGACGGCGCCGGAGCGTCATGCTGCGCGGCGGGAGAGGCTTCCCCGCGCGCCCCTGCGGGGGACGTGGCGGGGACAGGAAGCGGAGCGTCTCTAGGGGTGCGCGGGGACGGGCTCGGCGCTCCGCCTCCCGCGCCCCCACCCGCTCCCGCTCCCGCCATAGCAGCCGCCGCGGCGCGCGTGCACGACGAGTTTCTACGCTTTAACTCCCGCTGCTCGGACCAAAGGCACTGTAGGAGATCGACGAACGTCTCTCTAAGAACAGCCTTCTTAGTCTTAAGACTGAGCGTCGGCTCGTGGCGGTTCCGCAGAATCGCGCTCGCCGCCTCTCGGCACTCAATCGTCCCCGGAGCCACCTCCGCCGCCTTTCCGCCGCCCCTTCCCGCCCCCGCCGCCCCCGCCGCCCCCCGCCCTGCGGGCTCTTCCCCCTCCGCCTTCCCCGCGCCCTGGCGGCTGTCGTGAAACGCGACGGCGCGGATGAGCAGGATCCGAAGCGCGTCGGAGATGCTCTCCTCGTCCCACGTGCGCACCGGCAGACGGTCGAGGATCGGGCGCGCGTCCTGCAGATGCTCCAGCTGCGATACCAGCCGTAGGATCTCCTCCAGCTCATCGTCGTTCCACGGTACAGATTCGAGATAATCCACGCACGCGCTCGTGCACATGTGGAACTGCAGCTCGGACGAAACTACTAGGGTTTCTAGAACGCGCCATACGGAGCCTAAGCACTGAATTTCATCGGGAAGCTCCTCTTCTTCGAGATAAAACATGCGGAAGGTTGACACGTAAGCGTCGGGATCTGCCACGTGGCCGCTGGCCTGGATCGTGAAGGTGGTCCCCGCCGCGTCGTGTGAGATCGTCGCGCCCTGGATCGGGTCGCGCACGGCGCGCTTCGCGAGCGCGTTGAAGAAATAGTCGCTCTGCTCGCGGAGCACGGACGTGTGGAGATTAAGAACAGCATGAAGCTCCCCTTTACGATTTAAGATCTCAATATGGATGTCGCTAGTCGGCTCGTCGTTGAATATCGGGGTGGCGGAGGCGGAGGAGGAGGTCGAGAGTGTCGTGGGGAGCGAGGGAGCTAAGCCTCCCGCTGCGCCTCCGCCTCCGCCCGCTCCGCCCGCGGCCGCCGGGTTGCGAAAGGGCGGCATGCTCCGCGAGTGCGCGAGGAACTTCGCCGCCGCATCGGGCGGCTTCGACGGCGACCTCGGCGGCTGCGATTGGCCGTAGAAGTTCTTGAACATGGCGGCTCGCTGGTCGCGACTCGGAGAAGTACAAACGGCGCAATTAATTGTCGAAGGAGTTCACTTATTCAGATAGCGATTTAGCGAGGAAATGAAGTCAGGTGTACCTGTCTCGGGAAAAAATATACCATTGGCGGAAGAGCAGCGGTGGTTTGCGTCGCAGTGAGGCATTAGTCAAGGCAAAATAAATAAACACCGCGATTAGGGTTACACCTTGAACACTTCAACGGAAACTAATTGGAAATCAATTAGGTCTCATTGACGTACAAAAGGACTAGAGAGCTGCGATCTATGACGAAGATGACGTCCGTACAACTCGAGCGAGCAAGGCAAGAAGGCTGCGAAGTACGGACGATAAGGAACAACTGAGGTGGGTGGAGGAAAAAGCGAGGTGTATTTGACTGGTCAGTCCGCCATGGCTGAAGTCTGGAGTGGTGTGGTGTGCGATGGAAGCTGGGCGACTGAGCGACGAGCTTTGCAGGCTGGCGATGCCTAGCGACTCTGGTAAGAGGCGGCGATTCACGTGATTTGACGTAACGATACAGCAGTTTCTGGTGTATGTGCTTGCAGCAGTTTCTGGTGAGCGAAGAAAAAGGTGGACGACGAAGAATGGCAACTGAATCGGTGCCCTTCTTGTTGCAATGTGAGGTGTTTTGTACAACACGCACATTATTCAATAATAAGCAAAACATTTCTTAAAAAATAACTAAACGGGCCTCTAATGTGACCTTTTGAAGGTCACCAGCTACTTGCGAAAGGGCTGGACAGCTAGCACAGAGCGCACTGAGTGCTTGCCATCACTCCAGACAAGACTACCAAATACAAATTTGATCGACTGCGTTACCACTTTGAATGTGACGGTATATGTCATCTTGGCTCCTGGTTGAATTGTGAAGGACGATGGAGACACCGTTACAGTCACTCCCTTAGGCTGCGAAATCTTTGCTGTGTATGTGCTTGCAGTTTTAGCGACATTTGTTACAGTCCGTGTTACCACTGTAGATCCCCGGAGATTACTCACTGCAATGTTTGGCAAGTTCAAATTATACCTGAAATCAATGGGAGTGCACAAGGTACAGGCAATATGTATTGATTTGTGGATGGCTCGAACAGGTAAGGTGGGGATAGGCACGGGGCACACATGCCTACACTCCACCTCACGCAGGAGGAGCATGATTCATGAGTGATGGGAGGCCATACAACCGAATAGGTTGTTGCAACACGAACAAGAAAGAAAGAAAGGAAACAAACAAGCAGACAACCGATACAATGCAAACAAGGCAGGGCAGAGTCATAACAGCGTGCAGAGCAGAAAGAAACGTCGATGGACGAGGGGAAGGGGGACTCACGGATGGTCCAGCGGCGTCCTCTTGTCCTTGGCAACCGCCCAGTACGCCGACGTCTGCTTCACATCCACTGCATCAACCGCTATAAGAAACTTCACATTCTCCAGCACTGTAGAGTCGTACACTAGTCCCGGGTCCAGGGCTTTAAACGTGTCCACATGCCCCGTGCCATAGTCAAACGGGTCTGCTGCTCGTAGCTGCCCGGCCGAGTAAATCGGCTTGTTCTTGTTGTTTAGGGTGTACGCCGTGGTCATGAGCGCGGATTTGAGGGCAAAGGGCGACCAGTTGGGGTATTTCCCCTTGATTATTGCTGCTAGGCCGGAGATGTGCGGGCAGGACATGGAGGTCCCGCTGATCAGGAGGTGAGACATAGAGGCAGCAGGGACCACGCCTGAAGCAATCCCGTAGGGTTCTTGGAAGGGCGACTGGGTCCACCCGGCCCACACCTCGAGGCCCGGCGCGGTGATGTCGGGCTTTAAGACGTCGTTGTACCCGAACGAGTACTTGCCGCCCTCCCTGGCGTCTAGCACGGGGTCCACGTTGGGGCCCGTGGAGGAGAAGGACGTGACGGTGGGCGCCGCCAGCTGCTTCATGTATGATGCTGATATCGTGGCTTTTACCCTGGGAGTCAAGGGGAGCAGGGGAGTGGGGAGAAGGGGAGTGGGGGAGCAGTATCAGGGGGGAGCGGGTGGGGAGGAGGGGAGAAGAAAGAGGGTGATATGGGGCGTGAGTTGAGCATGTGGCTGAGCCGAAAGCAGGAGTGCTTGCCGCCCTCCCTGGCGTCTAACGCGGGGTCGACGTTGGGGCCCGTGGAGGAGAAGGACGTGACGGTGGGCGCCGCCAGCTGTTTACTCTGGGGATTAAGGCGAGCAGGGGAGCGGGGGAGAGGGGAGCGAGCAGTGAGAGGAAAACCATGGGTGGGGATGAAGAAGGCTAAGGAGGAGATGGAGATGGAGGGGAGAGAGGAGCAGGGCAGAAGGGCACGGGTATGGGCCGATGGGGGTCGGTTGGGCGTTGTGCTGGAACGATTGTCGTGCCGTGAGTATGCTATGCTCATATGGTGCCTCCGATACTTGTCGCTCCCCTCTGCCCCTTCCCTCTGCCCCATCCCTTTCCCCTCCCCCTTTCCCACCCTTCCACATCAACCCCCTCGCCCCTCCCTCGTCCACTCACTCACCGGCCACCCACTCCCGCAACTCACCCTGTGGAATTTCCCAGAAGCTTCACGAGCCGCTTGCCAGTGTACCGGTCCAGGTGGCAGGCCGGGATTGGGTGAAGCACAGCCACCACCCGATCCGCCTTATCCGTGTTGTATATAATCACGCCCGCAGCGCCCGCCTTCTTAACGGTGATGCTTATAGGGAGGAGGTCCTCCGAGCTCCACCCGCCCCATTGGGAGATGCGCCGACACACCACGATCTTGCCCGAGACCTTGGCTGGGTCGAGGGTGCCTGATGCACACACACCGGCCTGGAAGGGGTTGGGAGGAAAGATGGAGGGTGATGGAGAGATGGGCAGAGAAGGGGAGGGTTCACAACCTGGAACTCCATCCGCCCAACCCACGGTCTTACTGGAGACCTAAGCTGGGTCGAGGGTGCCTGCAGCACACACGCCAGCCTGCGAGCTCGTGCACTCATTCCCTCACGCCTTCTCACTCCATCTTTATGCCTCCCTCACTCACTCCCCCCCCATCCACTCACCATCCAGGAATTCCCTCCGGCCTTCACGCCGTTCCTCCCCAGAATCAGCTCCCCACCGCCCGTCCCCACCATGGACCGCCCCGAAAACTTCTCCCCATTGACCGTCACATCCGTCATGTAGTTGCGCCCGTGGGAGCTGGCAGCAACGGTGATCATCCAGGGGGACGGGTGGCCGATGCTGCGGAAGAAGGCGTCTCCAATGGTGGTGGGGCCGCTGTTGCCCGCTGACACTGACGCCAGCACGCCTGCCTGTTGGGGTGGGTGGTGGGGTGGGGGTGGGGGTGGGCAATCGGGCAGGGGAGGCGGGCACGTGTAAGGAAAGGGGGGATGAAGGGGGACGTGGGTTTGGGAGAGGAAGAAGGAGGACAGTGGGAGCTGGCAGCAATGGTGATCATCCAGGGTGAGGGGTGGCCGATGCTGCGGAAGAAGGCGCCTCCGATGGTGGTGGGGCCGCTGTTGCCCGCTGATACTGACGCCAGCACGCCTGCCTGGAGGGGGTGGTGAGTTGGTGGGGGAAGGGGAGGAGGAGGGTTTCTTGGTTAGGAGACGGGGGAGTGGTGGTGAGTGAGGGGCGAGGAGGAAGGAGTGTGAGGAGCTGGCAGCAGCGGTGATCATCCAGGAAGAAGGGTAGCCGATGCGCCAGGAGATCGGGGCTGCTGCCGCTTGCTGCTGATTCCGACACTGAACCCACTCACCCTAGCGGCGTTGAGGTAGATCATTTCATCGTCATCAAAGAAGAGGGGCGCCTGGCGGCCCACGGACAGGCTGATCACGTCCACCCCGTCCGCTACAGGGAAGTGCTGTGAACGAGCCCGCCTGTCAAGACGCTCACTCACTCACCCTAGCAGCGTTGAGATAGATCATTTCATTGTCGTCGAAGGGAGGATTGCTGTAAGGGAGGATTTCCCATTCACCCTGTGGAGGGAGGGAGGCTTGCCACAAACCCACTCACCCTGGCGGCGTTGAGATAGATCATCTCATCGTCATCAAAGAACAAGGGCGCCTGGCGGCCGACAGACAGGCTGATGACGTCCACGCCATCTGCCACGGCTGTATCGACGGCCTTGAGAATGTCCGACCCGTCACAGTTGTCCCTCCCGTTCTCCTCCGTCGCCCAGAAGACCTTCGGAAGGAGGGGGGGGACCGGGGGGTGAAGATGGGGTGGTGGTGGTCGTGGAAGGGGGAGAGCAGACGGGAAAGGGGGTTGAGTGGAGTTGCCTGGTGCGCGTGCACAGAGCAACAGGCTGATCACGTCCACTCCATCTGCCACGGCTGCATCGACGGCCTTGAGAATGTCCGACCCGTCACCGTTCTCCACTGTCGCCCAGAATACCTTTTGGTGGGGAGGAGAGAAAAGAGTGGTGAAGATAGGTGAGAACAGAGGAGGGTGAGTGGCAGTTGGGAACGGGAAGGGGCAGGTGATGCCATCACATACCATGCCATGCTAATGCCTTTCACAAGTCATCAAGTACATGCCAAGCCATGCTAATGCCTTGCACAAGTCATCAAGTATATGCCAAGCCATGCTAATGCCTTGCACAAGTCATCAAGTATATGCCAAGCAATGCTAATGCCTTGCACAAGTCATCAAGTATATGCTAAGCCATGCTAATGCCTTGCACAAGTCATCAAGTATATGCTAAGCCATGCTAATGCCTTGCACAAGTCATCAAGTATATGCCAAGCCATGCTAATGCCTTGCACAAGTCATCAAGTATATGCCAAGCCATGCTAATGCCTTGCACAAGTCATCAAGTATATGCCAAGCCATGCTAATGCCTTGCACAAGTCATCAAGTATATGCCAAGCCATGCTAAAGCCTTGCACAAGTCATCAAGTACATGCCAAGCCATGCTAATGCCTTGCACAAGTCATCAAGTACATGCCATGCACTGCCCACAAGCCCACCTTGTACATAGCAACGCGTGCACGTGGCGCCATGCCACTGGCTGTTCCAAACGAGACGCCATTCAGCTTCACTTCCACGCCACTGTTGCCGCCCGCCGTGCTGCAAAGGAGGAAAGAGAGGGTGGGGCGGGGGTGGAGTGGAAGAAGAGGGGGATAGAGCATTGCTGGATACCGCTTGTCACACTTTTGCGCCATTCAGCTTCACTTCCACGCCGCTGTTGCCACCCGCCGTGCTGCACAGGAGGAAAGAGAGGGTGGGGGGAGTGGGGGTAGAGGGAGGGGAGGGATATAGCCCATGGTCGGGTCGATGATGCACCCCGACGCCTTGAGCCCCCGGAAGAGAGACTCGTGTGCCCCCTTGCTTGCACCTGCTGCTGCTGCACGCGTGCTGCTTGCAACCCGAAGCTCATGAAGCCCCTGAAGTTCACCGTCTGGTGCCTCTATTCGGCTCCGCGAACCCGCTGCTGCGTGTCCCATGCCCCGCCACATCTCTCGCCGATATGTAGTCGATCGTCCAGTCCATGGTGCTTCCCTGACGCCTTCAGTCCCTGGAAGAACCCCTGTGCGCCTATCAGCTTGCGTTCCGACCAGCAACTCTAGCTAAATCCCTTGTAATCTTCCCAACTCTAGCTAAATCCTCACCCCCTTGTTGCTCTGCGCCCCGTGCCCTACCTGGTGGTGTGAGTGCCATGCCCGGCCACGTCACTCGTCGACGAGTAATCAAGAGTCCAGTCCATGGTATACCCGGACGCCTTGAGCCCCTGGAAGAACCCCCGCACGCGTCGATGAGCTTGCAGGCTGCAGGCTGCATGCGAACTAAAGCCCCACCCGTTGCTCATGTGTGTTCCGTTCCCTACCTGGTTGTATGTGTCCCGTGGCCGGCAACATCCCTGGCCGACTTGTAGTCAAGCGTCCAGTCCATGGTATACCCCGACGCCTTGAGCCCCTGGAAGAACCCGCGCGCGCCCATCATCCGGGGCTGCACCTCCAGCAAAGGCCCACCATCCTGCTGCTGCACTGTGCCGCATGCCTCACCTGGTGGTATGAGTGCCATGCCCGGCCACATCTCTCGCCGACTTGTAGTCAAGCGTCCAGTCCATGGTATACCCCGACGCCTTGAGCCCCTGGAAGAACCCGCGCGCGCCAATCAGCTTGCGGTTGCAGCTGGGGAAGTCTGCTGACGTCATGCACGACCCCTTCCATTGAGCAGGTACTGGGCCGTAGGGCGGGGATACCTGGGTCGAGAGGGGGGAAGAGGGGGAGGGTGAAGTGATGGGGAGATGGAGGGTGAGATGAAGGAGGGGTGAGATGAGATCAGCATAGGCGGCATTCCTCCTGTATATTTTTCTCCCTTCCCCCTTCCCCTCGTTATACTCACATCGTCACTGAACGCGGGGTTCTCCCGCCAGACCCCCATGTCGACCACGCCGATAATCACGTCCTCCCCTTGCTGCCCCGCGCCCTTCTGCCCCTCCCCCTGCTGCCCCTCGCCCCTCCCCTCGCTATACTCACATCGTCACTGAAAGCAGGGTTCTCCCGCCAGACCCCCGTGTCGATGACGCCGATAATCACGCCCTCGCCCTGCTGCCCCGCGCCCTTCTGCCCGTTCTGGAGCGTCTCGTTGCTCCACACGCGCTTGCGCAGGTTCAGGAACGTGGGCGTGAAGGTCGTGTGCAGCTCGTACCTAGGCGCCTCTCTCACCGACCCCACTTCTGGTCGCCGCTTGAGAATCTCTACTTGTTGCGGAGTGAGCGTCGCTGCTACGCCGTTCAGAGCGGTTGTGTAGCTGCGGATCGAAAGAAGGGGGATGGAAGGGCAATGGGAACGTGGGCGTGAACGTCGTGTGCAGCTCGGACTTAGGCGCCTCTCTCACGGACCCCACCTCCGGTCGTCTCTTGAGGATCTCCACTTGCTGCGGAATGAGCGTCGCTGCTACGCCGTTCAGCGCGCATGTGTAGCTGCGACGAAAGAAGGGCGATGGAAGGATGATAGAAAAAACTTTGGTTCAGAAGCAACAGAATATACGGTCTTACCGGGGATACGGCAACTCCGCCGAGCTCGCATACAACCACTTGAAAAACCTGTATCAAGCAACAGACAAAGTAAATCAGAGTCGACTAATGGCGCAATTGACAACAGTCGAAATGAAACCAGGGGAAAAGGGGATGGCGTATATCAGTCGCTGTCGCGAATTGCGCGACAAACTCCTTCGATGCGGAGGGTCGATATCTGAAGACGCCTTCGTGACAATCATCATCGGCGGCCTCGGTCCTCAATGGCGCGCCACAAAAGCCATTCTCCGAGCTCACGGAAGAATCTCCGAAGCAGCACTTTGCTCTGAAATTCATGCCGAGCCCGCGGCTTGTCCATCGGAACAGCCTGTTTGGTCTGTTTGGTCTCTTCGAAGTATCTCAATCTCCCCCTCCAGCCGGCCCTATACATTTCCGTAAATGCGCACGCTGCTATCAAAAGCCCTGCTACAGTCGACCTCACCTGTACACGTGCGCGCTGCTATCGACCCCCGCTTCCGCCAGCACCGTCCTGTGCATGCGCACCAGGTGCGCCGCGTACGCGCGCACGTGCGGCTGCGACGCGTCGAACGCGCGGCGCAGCCCGCCGCTTTCCCCCGACCCCGCGGAAGCCACGGAGGCGATTAGCCCCTCCTCCGAGTCGTCCATCGGCGCAGCGGTTGCGGGGAAGCCGAGGATTCCGCCCGTGTACGTGGCGGCGGGGGGCATGGCGTGGAAGCGGACGATGTAGACTGCGGGGAGGGGAGGGAGGGGGGATGGGTGGGAAATGAGCAAAAGAATATTTTTTTCGTGAAAAAACAAAACCCGGAAGATTCTTTACGCGAAAGCGCGCGATGCAATAGTGAGTAAATTTGCGATCTTGCAGTCACGATACACGTGGATTGGTACATGGGGAACGGTACATGTGGAGCGGTACATGTGGAGCGGTACATGTCGAGCGGTACATGTCGGCCGGTACATTTACGAGTCTAATACCAACAGGCACATTACGCGCACCGTAAGTACATGTTACGCGCAGGTTACCCGCACGCTACGCCACACAAGCACGTCGAAGCGGGAAACGAACCTGTCTTTAGCGGCTCTCCCTTGACCGTGGTTGTCGCTCGTTGGCTCTCGCTTGCACTTGGCCGCAATCTGTCAAACGGCCTCAACGCGTCGGTCGAGGAGGATAGGACCAGCAGTGACACGAACAGGAGCGTCGACATTGACGATAGCTCTCGGAAGCTTCGCGCCATGACTACACAATGAGATATGACTCTTCTTGATCGTTCTGGCAACAAGTGCAAATGTATCAACACTCCGCAAGAATCGTTTTTGCTGAGGAGAGGCGGATCAAGAAACCGATTAAGTTATCCTCCCGCTTCTCCGATGGGCAGAGCGTAGCGAGAGAAATGCGGCCGGATGATGATAAATACAATGATGAGGGGTAAACTCCCTTGCCACCATGCCAGTGCTTGAATCGATTGAATGTCTTCTTGAATGTCGATAACGTCGACTACAATGATGGATCAAGTGCTTGCTGGTGCCAGTTAGGAGAAAAATGTGTAATCTCCGTTTCAAACGAAGGGAGTGAAGGCTACTAACTTTCTTTCCACGCTACTTTTTCAATGCCAGGCGAATGAAAGCGCAAGCTTTGAATGGGAAATGCTCATAAAAAGTATCAGAGCACCGACTTCAAGATGTCAAGGAAACGACCATTTCATATGAGCTCGACGAAAGAGATGCTCGGCTGACATATGTGCTAGTGCGGAAGTGAGGGAGGATGGGGAAGAGATGTAGTGTAAGAAAGTCGGCTGCGCAGCGGATCTGTATTTTGCCGGGAGCGCGGGGAACACTCGGGGAAAAGACGGCTGCGCAACCGCCTTACCTTGCCGAGTGCGCGGTCAGCATTCCGGACCGCCTGGGGGAACAAGGACAACATCGGGGCTGGCCTTGCCGAGCTGGTCACCCTGGGAATTGCCATTTGCGGCGAAAAGCGCTTCTGTAGAAATGCTGTGCTGACGACAGGGGCGTGTGGGGCCTGTGATTGGTCATCCACGCGCCCTTGCCCCTGGTGGAAGAGAAATTCTTGCGCTTGTTCCGCGGACAGAGTCTGGGATCGCGGAGACCCGCACTACACGTGGTTCTGGGGGATCGGCGGAAAAGGGACGGGGTGGGGGAGTTGCAGGGCAGTGAGAATTCGGTGGTTGGGCTGGGGAGGGGTGGTGGTTCGGTCTTTGGTGCGGGAGGTCGATGACGCGGGGATTTGCAGCTGTGTACGCACCGCAGCGCAACTTTGTGGTTGTTGGGCCTGAAAATTCTGCCGAGCCGGATCCCAGTTGGATTGAAAGATTTGTACAGCCCAAGTCTGCCTCTCCATGGATCTACAGTGCATGTACAGTGAAGAGCGTGAGTCATCTCATCTCATCTCGTCGCTGCATCGAGCGCCAAAAAGCCTTGGGATTGAAATGATTGACTTGAGAGGCAAAAAGTGCAGTGTAACACAGTTAAGATCCAAACTGCATATATAGTATATATAGTAATTCATTAGTTATATATAAGGTGGGAGATAGATCGCAGCCGAAGATGGCCTCGTAATAGTCCCGCTGGTGAAAAAATGTGTGGGATGGTCCGTGCGATACAATGACGTCAATATTAATTTCTGGCTACCTTCCTTCCATTCATCCTCAACACTCGCAATTCACAATTTGTTGTTACCAATTGTCACCACTCACACTCTCCACTGACTCAACACAATCGACTTGCAACACTCGTTCTCACCACACCCTCAAAACCCACACCCACTGCCACCACCCACTCTCAACACATACCTCTGATCTGACCCTAAGAACGCACACTCCACTCTCGCTCACCCCATTTCCTTTCACGAAATAAAGTCAAAAAACACCCTCCCCAATTTTTCTTACCATTCACTCTGGCCAATAACTCTTGCCACTCAAGTTCACTATCCACTCTCACCGCTCACTCTCACAGCTCATTCTCACCGCTGCCCACTCTCACCACACTCTCAAACCAACGCACTCTCACCACTCACTCGCAGCTCACTATCCTGCTGCTCACCTCTGAACTCCTTTGAAACCTAACTGTAACCACTAACTGTCCATCTCACCCCCCATTCACCACAAAACCATATTACTCAACACTCATTGTCAACACCCACTCTCGCCTCACACCCTCCCACTCGCTATCCCACTCACTCTTGTAACTCCTTCTCACCACACACTCTCAGCAATCACTGTCCCACCAGACTTTTTCACCCACTATCACTATTCGCTCTCCTCACTCACTCTCACCACTTACTGTCCCCGCTCACTGTTCCCACTTACTCTCACCACCGAATGTCCCCAATCACTGTCCCCACTCACTGTCCCCGCTCACTGTTCCCACTAACTGTCCACACTCACTGTCCCCACTCACTGTTCCCACTCACTGTCCCCACTCACTGTCCCCACTCACTGTCCCCACTCACTGCTTCCACTCACTGTCCCCACTCACTAGCCCCACACATTCGTGCACTCTGTTTCACAACAGTCTCACCATTACTCTCTCCAACCACTCTCGCCACTAGATCTAACCAATGATGCTCACCATTACCAACCACATCCCCCACCATCTTTCCTTTCCAACTACCCGACACATCCTGCTCCCATAATACTGGTGGCATCAGTGCCCTAGGGCTCATCCCATGCCACCCAAATGAGCATCATGCTCTCATGCAACAGGTGGCATCAGTGCCCTAGGGCTCATCATGTGCCACTGCCAACCCCACTGCCTCTCACCACCATCACCACCCACCCCACCCCGCTCCATCCCACACTCACCTCTTAGCACTAGGAGCAGCAGACAGCCCACTTGCTTTCGGAAATAGCAACCCCTCGGCATGCAAAAGGTAGCATCAGTGCCGTATGGCTCATCCCATGCCACTCAATTCAGAATCCTGCTCTCATGCTACTGGTGGCATCAGTGCCGTATGGCTCATCCCATGCCACTCAATTCAGCATCCTGCTCTCATGCTACTGGTGCCATCAGTGCCGTATGGCTCATCCCATGCCACTCAATTCAGCATCCTGCTCTCATGCTACTGGTGGCATCAGTGCCGTATGGCTCATCCCATGCCACTCAATTCAGCATCCTGCTCTCATGCTACTGGTGGCATCAGTGCCGTATGGCTCATCCCATGCCACTCAATTCAGCATCCTGCACTCATGCAACAGGTGGCATCAGTGCCGTATGGCTCATCATGTGCCACTGCCAACCCCACTGCCTCTCACCACCATCACCACCCAGCTCCATCCCATACTCACCTGCAAGCAGTAGGAGCAGCAGACAGCCGACTTGCTTTCGGAAACAGCAACCCTAGGGAGCTATGCCTTGCAGGGCGAGGAGTGGTAGTGGAAAATCGCTTCCAGCCCAAGACTCAAATCCCACCCCTGACGTAGCCAGAGCTGACGCGAACCAGAGCCGCCGGCCGGTCGGCTCTGACGGTGTCCATTAGGCCTTAAACGCCAGATCGGTTACTTGAGCACCGAGTGCCGTGCCGCGGGGATTCCACCCACCACACCCCACCCCACAAGGCATAACCCCTGAGGAAGCGGCCCCTAAGGCAGTGAGCTGGCCACTTGCTCCCATGCTCCCCACCCACCCACCCCACACTTCACCCTCATGCCTACTTACCTGTCCTTACCTCCACCTACCAGAGCAATGCAGAGCGCCATGATGCCTCAGGCTGCTGGGAAGGGAGGGAGGCAGGGACCAAGGGAGAGCCGTGAGCAAGGGGAGAACGACAGGCAGAAGCGTGAAGGCAGGACAGGAGAAAGAAAAGAAAGTAAGCATTGCAAGAAATGCAAGCAGAAGCGTGAGTGAAGGAAAGAACAGACATGCAAGCGAGGGGAAAAGAGGCTCACCTTGCTTCAGACAACCCAGCCCGATACTCTCCCTTCCCATCCCAGCCGAGTGGAGCGTTGCCCCCCTCCCCTCTCCCCACGTGACCTGGCAGTGGGGGAAAAAGGGTGTGAAGGGACAGGAGAGGAGGGGCAGGTCAGTTGGCATCAACTGAAACAGTCAAGTAAACAGAAGACACTAGAGTGGACAAAAACGGCAATGCCGAAATGAAGTGAGGGAAATGAGGCATCTGAAGCAGGGAGGGGAAAAGAGGCTCACCTTGCTTCAGACAACCCAGCCCGATACTCTCCCTTCCCATCCCAGCCGAGTGGAGTACTGCCCCCCTCCCCTCCCACCACGGCCACCTGCACGGCCACAGGGGAGAGACGTGAGGGAGTGGCGGTGTTGACCCCCACGCCGCTCCCCTCAACCAGCAAGGAGAAAACAGAAGATCGGTGAATACGCGGCTAGTGGCAGGATGGGTGGGGTGGGATGGCAGGTGAGAGCAGAGAAGGGGGCCCCTGGTGCAGCCTCAGCTACAAGCCACAGACCCAAGGGGGGAACACACCTGGGAGGCTTACCTGCAGACCTGAGAGTATACCTGCAGTACCTGGGGGAATTTACCCAAGAAAAGGGGTCTGTGGATTGAAGATTTGGCTCAACCAGCGGCTCGCAATTGAATGCACAAGCGGCAGGAGATGCAGCAAAAACTGAAATGGAATGAATGCAAGAGGCAGCGCGGGTACTTAGCTGTGGGTGGGTTGGGTGGAGAGCAGCTGTTGCCTGTGCACTCCATGACCCCCGCCACTGCCACTCCCGTGTGAGCGACCTGCTGGGACCAGAAGGGGGCAGATCGGGACGGAGAGGAGGGAGGAGGGGGGGAGGAAAACGGGGGAGTGAAGGGGGGGCAGACGAGTGGAGAGAGCAGTGAGGAAAGTTGCAAAGAGTGAAGTGAAAGCGAAGAGTGCAGCAAGTGCAAGAATAATGCGTGCATGAATGGACTGCTGCAGTGGCACACCCAAGAGACCTCGTACCGGCTGAACCAAACTAAAACGAATACCTGAGGCTGTACCAAGAAAAAAGATACCTGCTACCTTGGGGGAGGGAGGTCTAATGGGTGTGACAAAGAGCAGTGAAAAAGGGAGTGTAATGCATGGTGCAAGCATGACATGAAAAGCAAAACAGTGCGAGGGTTGGGAGAAGCGAGGAAGGGTGGGTACTTAGCTGTGGGCTGGTTGGGTGGAGAGCAGCTGCTGCCTGTGCACTCCATGCCCCCCGCCACTGCCACTCCCGTGTGAGCGACCTGCTGGGACCAGAAGGGGGCAGATCGGGACAGAGAGGAGGGAGGAGGGGG